GGCCAAGACCTCCTCCCAGTCCACGACCGAGACCTCCTCCTCCCAGTCCGCGACCAAGACCTCCGCCGAGCAGACTCCCCAGAACTTGGCCGAAAATACTGCGGAAAAAGCACATGAAGGGTGTCAGCTAATCTGTAAAACAGAAGTTAAACAGAAGTTAAAACACTGAAGTTCCCTTGGTTGCAAACAAAATGTAACAATACTGCTGTAAAGCTGCTATGAATATGCAGCTGTAGAAGATTAAATCAGCGTGCAAGTTTTTAGTTGTTTTTTTTTTCTCACATTGGACTAGTTAGTCTGCATATTTACATACAGATGGCATTGCAATGGGATTGGATGGGATGTTTCTCTTCTGGCCGATCTACATAAATCTTCTCAAGGTCATTTGCTAGTGGATAATAGCTGTTTTCACGAACGGCTATCTGGCTGTCTGGCTTTATTATGAGTATGAGTAAGCTGAACGTTTTAGAGACTTACCCAGTTTCAGCGCCCTGCAGGTCTCCAGCTTCGGCCACAGGCTGGTCAGCATCCGGTGTAAACTCGGCGGCTGCCTGCTGTTCAGGTCGGCAGGTCACCACCGCCACTAGCGCCGCCAGAAGGCACAGTGTCACAAACTGAAAACAAAAGTGGCCACGTTCACCATAGTGTGTGAACAAATGACTCCGGAAGATGCCTTTAATCCAACCTGTGGTAATCGTTCAACGATGCGGCCTTGCATTGCTGCTCGATACTATTCATTGCGTAATACAGTTAGAATCAGTCAAATATTCTGCTCCTACCCCCCCCCCCCCCACACACACACACATACACAGATACATTTATCCTCTAATTACATGACCCTGAAAGGTCTTCCATAGACCGAAAAGGATTTATTAAATAGAGTGAATTACCTATAAGGCTTGGCTGGATGAATAATTGACCCTTTTATTATTTCGGTAATAATTAAGGCAAACAAAAAAAACTGCCTTCAATCCCCTGAACGTCAACAGTAAAGAATTGGGTTCAAGATCAGCACGAAGTTTTAGATGCCGGGACCCTTACACAACCGGAAGTGGAACCGAATGAAACAGCGATGCTCGCCCCCCCCCCCCCCAAAAAAAAAAGAATCGTCGATATTCATCGAATTGCTCCAGCTGTTTCAGTTTCTTCCATCACGTATAAAACCTCTATATAAAGGGGTGCGACTCAAACTGCTTTGCGCGCAATTCGCAGTCTGTTAAGCCACGCCAGCAATCACTCGATTCCCAAACACAGTCAGTCACCCTCACCGTTTTCATGTTGATCACTTCTCGTTCAATCAGCGACTGATGCTTGCGGGCACATCCTCCGTTTTATACGTGGTCTCCGCGATACGTCATTTAGACCCCGGAAAATTCCAAATGACCTCGGGTCGTTCAGCATGCCTGGCATACCGGTCTATGAGCGTGTCTCAGATTGGGATTAAATACCTTACCCCATAGGGGATGGGAAGGGCTTCCTCGACCGTTTTGTGAATTAAAGCCAATCCCGTAGGCGTGCATTTTATCACCATTGAATGATGTCTGAAGGTCATCACATCTGCGCTCCAGGTTGGAAAATTTTGGCACACTTCCAAGAACCTATCGCGTCATTTTTTCAGAACTTCATGGTTGATAAGCTGCAGACCAATTGCCAAAATCAGCGAAAATGTTGAGGAAGCTGTTCAGATTAAAACACGATGGCATTGAAATCCCAGAGATGGTTTAGAACGTCTCTGATTTTTTTTATACATCTGATCTGACTGGGTGTTATATAAATGTGGCGGCAGGCCAGGCATGCCAGGTTCGCAGAGATCCGCGTCGTTCATTGCCTTGATGACGTCATCACACTTTTGGGGAGCTGTCAGATAGTCGCGGAGTCAGCTGACGGAGGCGGCGACGGACAGCACTATTCGACCGTCACCCTTGCAGCCATTATTTAACTCAGGAACCACTGAACCAATCAGGACGAACGAAACACCATTCAAATCAGGGCGTACGATTTAATCAGCCGATTCGAAGATGGTGACCTCAGATGACCTGTGTGACCTCAAAGGGTCAACTTGGCGTTGACGCCTATTGCAACCATTGCATAACTCAGGAACTACTAAGTCAAGTGAGACAAAAACACCACCAGTCGATTCAGCGTATGCGATTTCATCAGCCGTTTTGAACATGGTGACCTCAGGTGACCTCGGTGACCTTGGGAGGTCACATGATCGTAATCGCCTATGGTAGCCATCCTATAACTAAGGAGGTACTGGACCGATCAATTTTCTTTTTGGACTTACCCTGAGATGCCCATTGCCCCTGCTCTCTGATCCAGCGTGGCTATGTATACGTTGGCAACATTCATTCATTGGCAATTCAGTCATTGGCATTCAGTCATTGGCAACAACGGTCATGTGACCTCCCAAGGTCACTGAGGTCACCTGAGGTCACCATATTCGAAACGGCTGATGAAATCGCATATGCTGATTCGACTGAAGGTGTTTTCGTCTCGATCAGCCCAGTAACTCCTGAGTTATAGAATGGCTGCAATAGGCGAAAACGTAAAGTTAAAGGAATAGTTCACTTTCCCGAAATTAGTTTTTTGCAATGGATTTATGATTTTGTATGTTCATAATGATATGCAAAGAAAATAACACCTGTTTATTAAAAAAGAGTTTATTTTCTAGGCATATTTTAATTTTGGAAGAGCTATATTCTACATAAGATATAACATAAGATATTGTTTGACACGGAAGTTTATTACGCGTTGACCAAAAATATTGCGTAGTACAAACCCATTGGCTGTAAGCAGAATGCTAATTGACTGCTGTTGACGTGGCTGCATTCCTCTGCAAGGCACTCTTTTCGGAACGAGAAATGGAGTATCTTCGTCTATAGGGTGACCGTTGGACCATAACAGCTTTTGATTTGAGCTAGTCTCAGCTCAACCTACAAAACTGTTATTCCAGTTCAGAACCCCACGTTAAAAGTAAACTATTTCCTTTAACCTTTCGAGGTCACAGAGGTCACCTGAGGTCACCATGTTCAAAACGGCTGATGCAATCCCATACGCTGAATCGGCTGGTGGTGTTTTTGTCTCGCTTGGCTGAGTAGTTCCTGAGTTATACAATGTGGCTGTAATAGGCGTCAACGCCAAGTTGACCCTTTGAGGTCACACAGGTCATCTGAGGTCACCATATTCGAGTCGGCTGAAAAAATCGCACCCCCTGATTCGAATGGTGTTTCGTTCGTCCCGATCGGTCCAGTGGTTCCTGAGTTATAGAATGGCTGCAAGGGTGGCGGTCGAATAGTGTTGTCCGTCGCCTAATGGTGGTCAATATGTCGGTGACAAAACGGCGCCAGTCGACCCGAAAACTAGCAGAATAGCTTACTGCGGCCGGCACCCGATCTAACATATCACAATTCGCACAGACATCCATGAAAATTCGAAGATAAGGTCATAAAAACCTCGAAATGACCAAAATTCACGAAGTGCCAGCAGGATTGTCGATTGAAGTTTGCCAAAGAGCGCCAAACCTAGACGAGGGAGGACTGGCAGCTGGCGTTGTGGTCAGGTGAGACATCTTGTGTGCTGTTTCATCCGTCAACGGGCAGAACAACTGCGTGGAGGCCACCGATGTCCCTCCTGTCACTATCGTCAAACATCCGGCTAAGGTGCACGTCACGAGGTGATGAGCCTCCGGGTGGTGTCAGAATTGCATGTAGCGCCCAAAAATGTCTCCAAAAATAAAGTTTATAACCAGTGGAACGTCCTTCCCACACGAATGTCTCCGTCTAATCCACCGATGAGGCAGCACTGGCAAGATGATTAACCCGCACCGGGCCGGGGGTGTTTGAACAACCCCTTGCGGTATTCGCAGATATTTCAAAAATAGGCCCGGAGCGCCACCGTTTTCGGTACACCTGTTAATGTATCTTTTTTCGCACATGTGAAAATTTCAGACCCAGGCTCCTTGAGGTCAGGTCACCAGGTCATGTCAAGCGACCTCACCTCAGAAAAAGTTAGAACCCTCGTCATAGCTACACCGACTGAACTTTCGGTGATTGATAAAAGTTACTGTATATACAAAATGTATTTCTCGGAATTTTAATATCGGTGACCTGAGGTAAAGTCCATTTTTGCGACCTCTCCAATCTCCATTCAAAGAGAGAAGCTTGAAAGGCGCCTTTTTTGGACGAACGCCATTTAAAACACTCTCAAGCATCGGAATATAGATGAACTTGACAAACTGAACCGAAAAAATGGCACCCGTGACCTCTTATAATGTCCCTGAGGTCATATCAGGTCATAAAAGGTCCACAGCAGTTTTTTAACAATACCTTTTGATGGAAACAGGCTAGAGCGATGAGAACACCTCAGACGTGTTCATCTCGACGATACGGATCGACTGATGTGCAACATGACCTTTTCCGATCAGGTCATGACCTTGACCTGAGGTCAAATTTTCAAAATGACCTTTCAAGGTGAACATATAGTTCATTCGACGCGTCTCGACGAGAGAAACACGGTGCCGGCAAAATAAACGTCGTCAATTTCATAAGTCAAAAGTTATTGCACAAAAAATTTGTTTAACGGCGATTTTTGGAGATTTGCCGTCTGGAGGCTAAACTGTTGACCTGAGGTCAAATCTGAGCACAGGCTTGCGAAAGAACATTGCAAGGGCTATCAAATGCGCTTCTTGCGGCGCTGTAACTCTATGATGTATTGGTTCCCGAGTTATGCGCGCGTTTTTTTGAAAATTGTTGATATATACAAATTTTAACCTTTGATAACCTCTGGCGACTTGACCTTTGACCTGATCTAAGAAATAACCGATGTGTTTTCTTCATTGTTTTTTACGCTTTTTTGAATGCCGCTTACCGCGTGTCGCTACGTCGAAAATATCCTAACATTTCGCGGGAAAAGAAAGCAGCTCGCAGAAAGAAATGCAAACCTAACTCTAGGCTTCCAGAAGAAGAGTAGTGCACGATAACATTCTGAAAATGCTTAGACATTTCACCACAATTTATTTTGTTTAAACAATGCACGAAATTTGATAACTTCCGGCAAACACAACAAGCTCGCAATTCTTCATCTCAGGCAATATGTTTCGAAGTCATCGTCAATCAAAAAACCCTCTATTGGGCGTCTACATAGTACATGATAAAGCACTGAGTACACTCTAAGAAATGCACACAACTGAACAAACTATGCCGAAATTAACGTCCGAGGCCGAGTCCATAGCCAAGTCCGGGTCCGTATCCGAGTCCCACGCCCCGTCCGTATCCCAGCCCGCCTCCGTACGGGTATCCGTATCCTCCGCCGAGTCCTCCGAGTCCGAGTCCACGGCCAAGACCGCCTCCTCCGATGAGTCCCGTGAGAAGTCGGCCAAAAATGCTGCGAAAACAGCAAGTACACGACGTCAGAACAATTGGTAAATAAGCTCGGATGTTTCCGTATTTACAGATATAGTGTTGTCAGACCGCCCTTAAACGTTCACTTGAATGCGTTCATACTGCATAGGTAGTTAAAAAGCAGATGAAATCAGTGTTTGATGTTTCTCAATAGTCTTCTCCCTAATTGGACAAGGTCTAGGTAAAATATAATATCATTGGATCGGATGGGATGTATCTATTCCGGCCAATTTACACCATTCTAAGACCACGTGTTGAGTGGTTAAATGGATATAAACTCAAACCTACTTGCAAACGTCTGCGATAAAGCCATTGATTCTGTTATGGGATGGATAAATGGTCAATGAAAAGGATGGGTAATCCTTAGGAGGATAGATGCGCCCGTCTGAAAGACACGTGTGCAGAATGTGGTCGACAGCAGTCGACACATCTGCTCTACAAAATCATTCCATATAATGAGCAAGATAATTTTTTTTAGAGACTTACCCAGTTTCAGCGCCCTGCAGGTCTCCAGCTTCGGCCACAGGCTGGTCAGCATCCGGTGTAAACTCGGCGGCTGCCTGCTGTTCAGGTCGGCAGGTCACCACCGCCACTAGCGCCGCCAGAAGGCACAGCGTCACAAACTGAAACCAAAAGTAACCGCGGTCACCCACAGTGCACACATGACTTCGGAAGATGCTTTTAATCCAACCTGTGGGAATCTTTCGTCGATGTGGCCTTGCCTTGTTGCTAGATCCTAATTCCTATTCATTGCGTAATACAGTTAGACCCCGAATACCTGGAAGTTGTGAGCTGACTCACCGGGATATTATCCCATCCAAAAGGTACCTACAGCTACTTTGCGCCTCAGTCGGTGGTTGGAATCAGTCCAATTTTCTGCTTCTACCCTCCCCCCATCTCCCCCTTATATACACTTATACCTACTCTAGTTACATGATCCTGAAAGGGCTTCACTAAACCGAAAAGTATTGCAAAATACATTAATCACCTATAGGACTTGGTGGGATGACTAATTGACGCTTTCATTAGCTCGGTAATAATTGAGCAGGCAAAAAGAAAAGCTGCCCTTAAGCCCATAAACGACAACAACAACGAAAGGCTTAAGATCAGCACGAAGTTTTCGGTGCAGGGACCCTTACACGACCGGAAGTGGAACCGAATGAAACAGCGATGCTCGCCCCAAAAAGTTTCGTCGATATTCATCGAATTGTTCCAGCGGTTTCAGCTCCTTTCGTCAGATTTATAACTTCCGCGTATAAAAGGGCGCGACTCAAACTATATATAATAAGCGCACCATTCGCAGTCTGTTAAGCCACGCCAGCAATCACTCGAATCCCAAACACAGTCAGTCACCCTCACCGTTTTCATGTTGATCACTTCTCGCTTAATCAGCGACTGATGCTACCGAGCACATCCTCCGTTTTATAGGTAGCCTCCGGGATACGTCATTCAGGCCCCCGGAAAATTCCAAATGACCTCGGGTCGTTCAGAATGCTTGCCATACCGGTCTATGAGTGTGTCCCAGATTAAGGTTAAATCTCCTATCCCTCAGGGGATGAAGGAAGGGTTCTTCGACCATTTAGTGAATCAAAGCCAATCCCGTAGGCGTGCATTTTATCACCATGGAATGTTTTCTGAAGGTCATCACATCAGCTTAGGAGGTTAGTGAAACAAATTGGCACATTTCCAAGAAAGGTAACGCGTCACACTTTACAGAGCTCCATGATTGATACCTTAACCTCGGAAAACTGCCAAAATCAGCAAAAATACAGCGGAAGCTGTTCAGAGCAAAACACGATGGCATTGAATTTCCAGAGATCGTTGAGCACGTCGCTGATTTTTCAGGCATCTGATCTGACTGGGTGTTATATAATTGTGGCGGCGGGCCGGGCATTCCAGATTCGCAGAGATCCGCGTCGTTCAATGCCTCGATGACGTCATCACACGTTTGGGAGGCTGTCAGACAGTCTCGTATGCAGCTGACCGAGGGGCAATATACGCCTGTCAGACAGTCGCGGAGGCAGCTGACGGAGGGGCAATACAGTAATACACGCCTGTCAGCCAGCCGTGGAGGCAGCCATGACGGAGGGGCAATATACGCTTGTCAGACAGTCGTGGAGGCAGCCATGACGGAGGGGCAATATACGCCTGTCAGACAGTCGTGAAAGCAGCTGACCGAGGGGCAATATACGCCTGTCAGGCAGTCTCGGAGGCAGCTGACGGAGGGGCAATATACGCCTGTCAGGCAGTCTCGGAGGCAGCTGACGGAGGGGCAATATACGCCTGTCAGACATTCGTGGAGGCAGCCATGACGGAGGGGAAATATACGCCTGTCAGACAGTCGTGGAAAAAGCTGTCCGAGGGGCACACGGGATTCATCCAAGGATCACGAACAAGCAAAGGCGTGCACGTTAGGTGCCGGGTATTATGCATGGCGTGTGTGCGCTTAGTTTTCACACAAATTTCTGCTAGAACTTCGGTTTTTGAGCTTGGATTACAATGAAATTTGGCACACATATTACACAAGCAACAAACGAGCTAACGGTTAATAAAAGTGCAAGGCGGTATCGAATCTCAGACAGTCTGCGTGATCTGAGGCACACTCCTGATGAACATCTTCGGGCCGGGTCCGTATCAAAGCGTCCAAAACCGCAGCATCCAAAGTACGCAACATCCAAAACCGCAGCGTCCAAAGTACGCAACGTCCACAATGCGTCCAAAATCGGGTTTATAGCGGGCATTCACAAAGTCCAAAACCGAAACATCCAAAACCGCACCGTCCAAAAACGTATCATCCAAAAAAACGCAACATCCAAAGTACGTAACCTCCAAAACCACAACGTCCAAGACCACGACATCCAAGGCACGCAACATCCAAAACCAACCTAACCTAACCTAACCTAACCTAACCTAACCTAACCTAACCTTACCTAACCTACTGATTTTTGCCTATCCCTAACCCAACCTAACCTAACCTAACCTAACCTACTGATTTTTGCCTACCGGGGATAAGGAAACCCAACCTAACCTAACCTAACCTAACCTAACCTAACCTAACCTAACCTAACCTACTGATTTATGCCTACCGGGCATAAGGAAACCTAACCTAACCTAGCCTAACCTAACCTAACCTAACGGTTTTGGATGTTGCGTACTTTGGATGTTGCGTACTTTGGATGTTGCGTACTTTGGATGATGCGTCCTTGGATGTTGCGTTTTTGGATGATACGTTTTGGATGTTGCGGTTTTGGATGTTTCGGTTTTGGACGTTGTGAATGCTCCCTATATACCCGATTTTGGACGTATTTTGGACGTTGCGTACTTTGGACGCTGCGGTTTTGGATGTTGCGTACTTTGGATGCTGCGGTCTTGGACGCTTTGATGGTCCCCCCTTCGGGCCACTGTATGGCGGCAAGAAGCAGCGTTTTTTTTTTTTCTTTTTTACTTGAACCAGACGCCAATCTGCACTTACAATCTTCCTTAGTGCGATGCTTGCTTTACCAAGCCCCCGCAGAGTCCCCATCCGGTCGCCGTTCAGGCATGCCGAGAGAATTATCTTCGCTGCATACAAACGGCATCCGCGCGCTATTCAGCAGATCCTACAGCGCTCCACGCGTACAGTGGGCTGCAGTGTGCTCTGACTAGGACACGCATGCTTTCCTCCGGTAGTGCTCCCAATATGCAGCCTTGGGCCGCGTGTTAGCTATTAGCTCCCTTCCTAATAAAAACACTTGGAGGGGTGTCCTCTATTGATCTAGTTCTCTAGTTCTAGCTCTCTCTCTATTCTCTAGCTCCCTATTGATCTTTATAGTTCTCTCTTTTTTATATAAATTTAGCTCGAATGTTTGAATGGACAGATCGACAGAGCCGGAGACTACGCTAGTCGCTAAGTAAAGCTTGTTGCGTAGACTCCTATACCCCTAACCGTCCGATCGCCCAATTCCGGGTAACGGAAAGAATTTAGATGCCAAAGTTTTAACGTGCCCTTCAAAGCCGGACACGGCCTGTCCCATTCAACTGACATCAACTGGCTGCGGCTGCTCCCACCAACCGCACACCATCCCCGTCAGGAGACTCATATATCGAGCGCCGGAGCGTCTCGAACCCGGGCTCTCACTACCGGGAGTCCGATGCTCTACCAACGGGACAGGCTATATTGAATGATCATTTACTATGCTTAAGTATGTATTATGTATATGATAGCTACGACAGTTTACGAGATACGGACCATAAGACGCCCTTCGAGGGCGACAAATGGGCGGGCGAGCGAGTGAACCTGGACGCGCGGAGCCGGAGGTGCGAGAGTGTACTTCCAACTGGCTTGTAAGTACAGTGTGCACGCCAACGCACTAACCGGTGTCGAGCGGTGTGCCACCTTTGAGTGGAAATCGGCCCAGAGACGTGCAAGCGTCACCCTACACGTGCGTACGTGAAAACTGGGTTTCAACTGACTTTCCATGGTACCCAAATCGGCGGTCCCTATGGTGCCCCAAATTTGAGCGTTATCGGCCTAGCCGCGTTTTCGAGATCTGAAAGCGACCCCTGCACGAGTGCACGTGCAGTAGTGCACCCAAACAGTGACACATGGAAATAAATGCCTTGCCCGGTGGATGCCTATTATAGTTTCAGCGCCATCGACCCAGTAGTTGCCGAGATAGCCTTCTTGTTACAAAAGTGACACCTCTTCATTTTGCACGTTGCACGTGCATTAGGATAGCCCACATCTATCAGGGTAGTCTAATACTTGGTAGAAGGAATGAAACGACCCTAAAAAATACAGCAAGTGAATCGGTCCATTTGCATTGGTGGCTGAGATATAAGCCTAGCAGAAGCGTGACCACGGCCGGACGGACGCTCATACTCAGAAATTTATGTTATTCAAAGTAAGACTTCGCTTCACTCGCTTCACCCCCTCGCTTGTATTAATCGATCTTTTGTCCAGAAACTAAGTGCATACCGGTGCATCCCTGTTATGGATATGAAGAGACACTTAAATCTGTTAAACTCATTTCGAAGAGTTGGTCAGTTGGTTGGGAGCAGAGCTGGGAAGAAGTGGGGACGGGGCCTCACTCTCCATTTTTAGCCAGCTTTCCGTGTGCAAGAAAAATCGCCTCTTCAATTGGTATTGATGATAGTGCACAAATTTTACATGCATCAATACTCCTAAACTGCGTCTTTTATGTCAGATAATTAGGTCAACTTGAGTAGTTCATGGCCTCTAAACGAATGTGACTGAGCAAATTCCCTACAATTTGCTTGATGATGGTATGTGTCTGTAATATTAAAGCCCTTTTTCCACTATTATAGCAAAATATTGAAACACTTTCATAAGTAGCATTACACTTTCGTTTATTTGTTTCATCATCTCCTCGGCACGGAAGAAGAATTAGCATGGGTATACACACAGAAGAGACACAGAAGATCAGAAGTACGGATATTATCCAACAAATCCGTAGGGCCCCACCCCGTACGGATATCCTCCGTAGGGCAATCCTCCGTAAGGGAATCCTCCAAACGGATATCCGTAATACGGATATACTCCGTACGGATAGCGGCCGTAGAGACCGCCGTATCCGATTCCTCCCCTCCGGAGGCCGCCTCCCAAAAGACGTCCGAGCAATCTGTGGTAGAGATGGTTCAAGTCAGCATCGTGAGCGAAAAATGCAGATTTTTGGCATCTGGCAAGTGGCAACACATTATATTTATGGAAACTGGTATAGTCAAAGAAATTAAGTCCATTGGCAAGCAACAGTTTTTTTTTTCAAAAATAATTTTCTCCTATTGGGGTATGGTATCTCTTCAGGAAGTTAAAAAAAGGTTTAATAAAGTCTAAGTAAAGAGGCTCTGTGCTATAAATGTATGTAATTGTACATAGTGCGTGAGCCGAATCAAGGTGTACCATAAAAAGTAGTCAGGAAAGGGGACGGGTATGTACGCCTTTAAAAAGGTGTAGTCAGCAGTCGCTTTATTTGTCGTTCATTACAACTCACAAGCTTTCAGAGCCCTCCAGGTCCCCCTCTTTGGAGGCCACAGGCTGGTCAGCGTCTGATTTGATGACCTCTGCGGCTGCCTGCTGTTCGGGTCGGCAGGTCACCGCCGCCACTAGCGCCGCCAGAAGGCACAGCGTCACAAACTGAAACCAAAAGTCACCGTAATCACCAATAGATGATGTTGAACATTTTATCTGTTAACCCTCGCACGACCAGGCCATTTCTCATAACACGAACGACCAGGGGGGGGGGGGTTACGACCCCTGGACCCCTGGCGTTTCGAAACGGAAGGTCGTAGAGCTTAGCGAAAAAAACCAACGGATTGCTCTCAACGAGATCTCGCGATTGGTGGTATATTTTTTGGTCCTAGGTCAACATTTGACCTACTTTTGACCGGTCAAAGGTCAAATTTTCGGAAAAATAGAATTTTTTCAACTTTCGGCGGCGATTGCGGCAAAACGGTGGGAGATATCGACTTGAAACCTTCACTATCGTGTTCCTTGATCAATTTTCTATCGTTTGGTATGTATATCGTTTCCCTAGCTCTAAAAATGGCGCGTTGGGAGTGCCGGAAGTCGGCAAGGTCACAGTCGGCGGCAGAAATTCGAAAAATCAAAATTTAAATTTTTGAAATCTGATTGTATTTTTGGATTTGGGAGGTCCATTTGCTCCCTATAGAAGCTAATATTGCTGCATATTCCCATTGAGGTGACAAGAATTAGCAAAATAGTGGTTCGGGCGCTTTTCAAAAATAGTACCGGACGCTGTTCCTCTTGTGACGTCATAGCTCCGTGACCTGACCTGACCCGGTCAAATTTCTTATACCATATGATAGCCAATACTTGCCCCAACATGCATGGGGAGTTTCATCACGATCCATCAACCGATGTCCGTACCACCGGCAGGAAACCTCGGGCGTTGGCACTCAGTTTGTGAAAATCCGGCCGGAGGCTGTACCTCTTATGACGTCATAACTCCGTGACCTGACATGACCCGATCAATTTTTTTTCGGCAAAAGATGCGCAAAGGTTGCCCCAGAGGGTATTGAAAATTTCAGCCCGCTACGACAAGCCGTTTAGCGTGCACTTCGAAAAAACCTCAGGGGGGGGGTTGATACAACCCCCCCCCCCTAGGCGTTCTAGGGTTAAGCAATAAATGCAACAACGCATCTTGCGATTGGAAATACGTTTCGTTCCATCGTATAGCATCACAACTATTCAATGTTACAGAAACATTCATTTCACGTTGTCCCGTGAAAGAGAAAATATCAGTAAGCCTACCGAAAAAGGTCAAAGATTGTAAGCTCCCACCATGTTTAGAGTAGAGTGGGGTAAGATCCCCAGGGTGATAAAGACGCCCCACCCCTTCTAACGGCAAAACAAAAAATCAAACCTGGAAATTCATGTTCTTAGCATAAAGCAGAAACCTTCCTTGTTTACTGCACAAAAATTTGCCAAGCTCAGTTGGGCAACGGTGGGCTGGTGGTTGCTTGTTTTATATGTGCTGCTTTAAAAAAAAATATTTTAGTGTCAAAACATTTTAAATATCAAAGAAGATATGTAATTCTAAAGTCCCTTGCTATTGTCGTGATACATTTATATCCATGTACTTTTTCCCAACTAGTTGTTTCAGGGTGTAGTTTTAGTGTTAACAAATTGTAATGATTTAAATGTTAATTCGGTACTTTGGGAAATATGCCACCTGACCTGATGGAGAAAGACGCCCCCCTAAGTCCGTGGGTTGCCCTTTAAGGAACTCGTCGAATCATTTAGTACATACATACTTGTGAAGAGAGACAAAAGCCGATTCGGGACTATTGAGAGCACAATACGGTCAGGTGCTCGCCATATCGGTCTCTTGGCCCATACGCCAACTTTTTGGGCGGCATCTGACTCTAAGAGCCCTCACGACGGCCTCTGTGGGCCCCATTATTGGCTCCGAAGCCCCTTACAACACTCTTTGAGAGCTCCCACGCTGGCCTCACGTGCCGCGCTGGCATCTGAGGTCCCTAACAATTGTCTTAAGGGCCCTCAAGTCTCATGAAGACCTAATAAGGGCCCAACAACGATCTACGAACGGCACCACGGAGGCTTGGGCGTTGGACTATGATGGCCCTCACGATGACCTCTGAATGAAGCCCTCATGACGGTTTTTTAGGGCCCTTATGATGGCTTTTAACTGTCTACCGCAGGCTCGAATGGAACTGATTCGCTTAGGCAGCTCACGTGCCCATTTTTGTCACTTGTAGTGCGGAGGGGCATCTTACCCAGCCCCAGGGGGCGTCTTTCCCGCCCTCTGGGATAAGGTGCCCCCTTTCACTACTTCAGGAAAATGATCAATAGCAAAAAAAGTTATAATATTTCAAGCAAAAAAGTGTGGCATTTTGTGAAGAAAAAAAAAATGATGTCGGCTTCTTCCGTTGAAACTCCAAGTTTTTTCTTTCCGATTGCCATTTTCGAATAATTTATGACATTACAAACCCCTGGGCATCTTTTCCCCGCTCTTCTCTACATGATAAAACTACTACAGAAACGAATAAAATACGCAGTGACTATTGATAAACAGGCATATATGTAACGTTTGATCATATTACGTTTTTTTGCTTATCACCATCCCATGCGTTAGGTAAAGGTATTTTAAACATTGCATGCCCTCAGATCGCCTGCTCGTATATCTAGTCCACTTGAGACTACCCTTAGTCATTGGCTAATCAAGTTGCACTATTGGCGCTATTTTGTTGATGTAAGTCGCTGATTGTTAGGTGAAAATGTCCTCTCTAGGCAACACGGAAAACACGCCGCAATAGTCAAAGCAATGCTGCAGCAGCCCGGTAGTCACTAACAAACCCATTGTGCAATCCTACTTACCGATTTCATGTTGAGTTCTGCTCACTGGCTTAGCGACTGACGCTGAAGAAGATGACCTTCCGTTTTATAGTTGGGAGCGTGCTACGTCATTGGACGCTCAGAAAATAGCCATAGCCTTGTATCGGTACATCAGCCCGGTCAACGCAAAGTAGTGGCACCAACATCCTGATAGCAGGAAGATACATACTCAGTAGTTGTTTTGTGTCTGTTAATGATCATGAAGGTTCAGTCTATAAGCATTTTGTGTTGCGTTGTGATGTATATAAGTTGCATTAAATTGGCAGAGTGTCATCAGAATAGGCGACGTCATGCATAGCATACGCTATGTGCCCTATGGCAGACTTGTTATTCTCAGAATTGTTGCGATGCTGTCGAGCAATTCATGTTATGCGATATTTGAGGTTTTCAAGACAATCGGATTAGTTAGGCATTACGTGAGAGCAACTGCAAGTCATGCTGTCTATTGTCAAAGGTTCACATAAAATCAGCCGTAGCAACGCTCCTCTTGGACTGCATTAGCCGTTTTCACGACGGCCATCTGGTACACATTTGGTGCACATCTGGTGCAGACTGCAGATCAGGTGCAGATTTGGTCAAATCAGGTTCAGTGTGTCTCTTAGTAGCTATCAGCTAGGGTTGCACTAATTGCTTATATGCCTGCTTTGTCATATTATGATCTGAGAGTATCATCGATTAACCCGGCAGGCGGTGGGCCTCCCGGCCGCGTATTCGCCAATTGTATTACACGAATCGGCCAACCAATGGCTTGCCTCCTGAGTGACGTCAGCGTGGCGTCATACTTTCGGTCCTCGCCCTGGTGGCGTCTATTGAAGCTAGGTTTTAAGTTATTGACATTTAAGCTACATGAGGTATATTATTGCCGTGGCGAAGTGGTTAGAGTATCGGACTGGTGATTCAGAGGTAGGTGGTTCGAATCTACTCGGCGACTTCGATTTTCGTGTCATCTGTCATTGTGCGTTTTTTATACATTTGTAACGGCGTGCACCTAAGAAATCAGACGTAGGCATTCTTCTAATGAATATGTTGCATAAGATAGATATTTGCAGTCCAACCGATTGGTTCGGTTTCGGTATTTTCCAATGGTCTTTGTTTGTATTTGGTTTGGTAGCGGTGTTCTGATTTTCTGTGATTGACATCACTAATGCATAGTGCATACTATGCGAACGTAGCCAATGGAAAGACAAATGGTGCTGGGCGATGGCCATTCATTGATCAATATTTCTCACTGCCAATGGGTGATAGCACGCAGCATTGACAGGGGCGGCGCTGACCTTTTGAAAGTAGGTGGGCACTTGGCAAGGTAAAGTACCTAAAAGTAGCGAAACCTAAGATAAAAATTAAAAATCGCACGCTGGTAAGCAGGCTATTAGATAGCTTTTCGTGTAAGAATCACCATGCACAAAAAAAGTTCGGCATAGCTGTTAGCGTAATCACGGGACGAGATAATCAGTTTCCAGCCGTCAGAGCGTCATCTATAGGAGCTATGTCCTAACTTTAACTTTTACATTTCAGCCGCCAGGGGGATACCTAAGTCCTCTTACTTGGAATCTAGTTAAAGTCAAAAGATTTATATTAGACGTTTATGAAGATAACTTGGGACTGGTTGTTAAGTTGCATGCTCACGGCGGGCTGTCATCAATTTATCTCTATACATGTCTTATCTGATCGATGAAATAATACAGGAATCCGTTGTCATTCGAGTGTGTTTCATAATAGCTCTTCCGACTTTGACGAATATCGACAGTGCCGTAACAAAATTGGTAGTTCAGGTATAGACTGCAACTGCAGTTCTTTTGCAACTTATTCCTTAATCAGATGAACACTTGTCAGAGATTTATTGGGCGTACGATATTGGCGTGCGAACGTAGGGGCCAAAAATGCGCGTCTACGACCGACTTCTTTTAAGAGAAAAGAACCGCTGAAGCAAGAATCGATCCACCGACCTGTCGTCCATCACACCGAGACTCTAACCACTCGGCTACGGCGACACACACATGTCTCATAGCCATATACAATACAAAAGTAGTCTCAACTCAAATCTAGCCTCAATGCATGCATTGTCGCGGCGGATGGCTATGACGTCGCACTAGAGATGTCGCTAGTTGATGGGCCGATTCGTGTAATACAATTGGCGAATACGCCTCCCGGCCACCTTCCGCGCGGTGGGGGGGGGGGGGGGGCATTTTTTGCCCCCCCCCCCCCCCCCGTATCTCCGAAACTACTGGACAGATCCGGAAAATTCAAACGGCGTTCGATAGCCCTGTCCAATTTGTTTGGGGAAACCAAATTTCATTGACCTCGGCGTCACCGATGACGTCACAGGTCAGGTCAAAGATAAAATGTTTCACCGTTCACGGGGCTTCTAGGGAAAGCGCTATAACACCGAGTAAAACGCATATTGTCGAAAATCGGTGATAAGGTGTCAGTTGTCTAGTACATATGTTGCTATTAGAGGTCACTGGTCATACCAGGTCAGGTCACAGGTCAGGTCACCAAAGGTCACCAAGGGTCACCACATGGGCCCAACTTTACTAAGGTTATGCGCTGCATGTGTTATGGCCAGTTTTTCATTTCCAACTCAATGGTGCTGGTTATAAGACCATCAGGTAGGTACGGTTAAGTCACTTTCTGGTGGAGGTCAGGTCAAGGTCAGGTCAAAAAAGGTCAAATTTAAAAGTTGATATTTTTGCATAAAATAGGTATTGATTCGATGCAACTCGTCACGGGGAGTCTAATGGTGGTCTTTGTTTTGCGCTACCAGGTCTAGAATTTCTAAAAATTGAGTTTGAAAATTTAACGTCATCAATTTTGAACAGTTTTTTCGCTATAACTTAGCCAAAAAAAGAAGAGGTATCGATCTCAAATTTGGTATGTAGATAGAAGGCGGTATGGACTATCACATATATTCCTGTTTTTTCGAAATTAAAAAAAAACTTTTTTTGATTTTCGGCTATTATATTCAAAAATCTATTTTGTATTTTTAGGGGTCAAAATCCAAAAATTCGAAAAAAACAAAATAGCAGTTTTGTAGCCCTCTTGATTCCACACCTTTTATGTCTGAAACATTTTTCTGTATCTCTAAAGTTGTAAGCCTGACAGCTCTTCCCGCAAAACCTTTTTTGGGTCAAAAATGGCAGAAATGACGTCACTCTGACGTCATTAGCGGCCAACCTATCATAGCCTTTGGAAAATTTTTGGTCACCATGTGCGCTATAGCTACTCCCGGGGAGGGTACTGAAAGTTTGGTGACGATCGGCGCAGCGGTTCTTGAGATATATCGAAAAAACTGAAGGGGGGCAAAAAAATGCCCCCCCCCCCACCGCCTGGAAAGTTAAAACACTGAAATAGTTAAATTCATAAAATAAAGATATTTGCTGTAAAAGAGATTAGGTGCAGCATTGGTCAAATTAGGTGCACTCGCCGGATAGCCCGTCGTGAAAAGGCTATTATATACCCCAAAAGACAGCCTCTACAGGCATCAGTCGCTTGAATTTATTAACTCAGGTACACCTACATCTTTCTCTTCTCAGCTACTAGTCAGTGATTCATGACTTGTGCAAATAAAATTGCCGGAATTGATTTTGTGTTCGAAATGTAGATTGTAGAAGATAAGAAATTAAAAGAGAATTTGGGCCATCGTTTTATTATTGAAGTATGTGAGATCAGCATTCAATTGCGAATTTTCGATGGATTCGCAATTGTTGCATGTACACGCAACAATTTCACGTCGTGGTTTATGACTAAAATGCTCCTAAAGGTAGAGCACCTACCTGAGGAACTAAATGCGTATTACAAGCGTTTTTTTAGCGCAGCGACCGCACCTCCGTATATGTAGGCACTAATGTAGCAAACTGTATACCTGTTCATTGATTGCTCGTTGCTATACACAGTAGCGCTTGATCCGATTAGCCTTTATCAACATTACCTGTGGATCCAAGAAATAAGAATGAAAGAGAAAATCGCGTTTCAACTTTTAAGTGCCAAGTAAACATTTACATCCAAGTATTTTGGATCCTATCCTGCTAAAGACAATGCTCACATTTGTGAAAATGAATGCATTTCAAGCATCCGACTAGAACAAAACTAAGTCTACACATCAAAATGAGTCGATCCGAACCGTGCACGTTTGAGCAAAAATCCATCGCAAGGCATTCATTCGGTTTCGCCACGTGACGCCAGAACAGCAGCGCAGCACGTTCCCAGTGCGAGGCTGAACAGTGTACACAGATTGTCATTCATTATCCGTAATACGGGTATCCGTATCCATATCCATTGCCAAGACCGTATCCAAGCCCATGTCCATATCCAGGGTATCCGTATCCGTATCCGCGGTGTCCGTATCCATATCCCGAGCCGTACGGGTATCCCCCGAAGTAACCGCCGTATCCGTGTCTTCGACCGTAACGGCCGCGACCCAGGAGGCCCCCGAGCAGGCGACCGAAGATGCTGAAAAAGTTGGGATGTCGTCAGGGCTCCCCGTAAAATCTGCCGGACTCGCATTTTCATATGTGAAAAAAAAATATTAAATTGCGGGAATATAAAGTGAGAACTAAAAGGTTACCGCCACTAAGTTTTGGTTCCTATCTAGGAAATTGCATTAAAGTTGATTATTTTTGCCATAGTGCATGTCTTAAACTCTTAATCGCGAGTGTCTACTTTTGATAAACAAGTTTCTAATACACTGATCAACCAGTAAATCAAGCTCTTTTAGCCTATGTTTGTGACCTACCCAGTTTCAGAACCCTTCAAATCTCCGGCTTCAGAGGCCACCGGCTGGTCGGCATCCGGTGTAAACTCGGCGGCTGCCTGCTGTTCAGGTTGGCAGGTCACCACCGCCACTAGCGCCGCCAGAAGGCACAGCGTCACAAACTGAAACCAAAAGTAGCCGCGGTCACTGATGACAGTGATTTTCCATAGAAGTGACACCCGTGAATCGCATTTCTTGGCAATGTACATATGTAGTTATAGAGACAATCCAATAGGCTGGCCCAAATGCTTCATAACCAGCTCAGCAGCAGAAAAAAAAAAACACAAAAAAAAACACACGATAGAATTTATAATTCGGAAGAAAGCTGGCGTAGCTTATCAAAGTTGTGCAAGCTTTTTTAATAGCTCTGACTTTTATAAGAATAAATATAATATGCTTAAAGCCAGTGGCGCAGCCAGGATTTCGTTTCGGGGGGGTCATCGCCTCCAAAGCGGGCCCCCTAGTGTGCGGGCCCCCCACCCATTTTTCAGAATCTTTCCATATTACCTACATACGCATTCTGCTGAGCGGGCCCCCTTTACCTGTACGATAACCCTGAGCGAGTTTGAATCGGAAAATTTTGATAGAACAATAGCTCGGTAATCACCCAGTGTTCAATTTCTACGCGAATTGACCATGACGGAAATATGTTACTATGACGTATGAATTCGTATCTTTCGAGGGCGAAATGTGCCCCTTCCGCAATATGCATAGCATATATGCAAACGGAACTGTTGCCTGCTTCTGTCGGACAAGATTTAAGCAGTCCCATGTGCCTGTCCTAACTCCTAAGTCATCTATTGGCTGCTGTAGTAGATTGTGATTTATTATTCTTCATTACGTGAATTCGCTCACAAGAAGTTTTAACCCTCGCCGGCACAGGGGAGGGGATGATGCAACCCCCTAAGGGTTTTCGCAAATAACTCGCGTAAAAAGCAGCCGATCACGACCGAACTTTCAGTACCCTCGCGTTGATCAGTTCTACCCTACCCTAGAAATTTCATGACCCTGACCCAAATGACCTTTGACTTGTGACCTACTTTCCGAGACCATGTTTGGCCAGAATCGCGATTCGGCGTATGCCGGCTCGCATTAGCCGCGCGTTTGCAGTCTTTCGTGGTTTCAAGCATTCAAACAACATGTGAGTTGATGCTGCTCCCATGCATTAGGGTGGATGTCAAGGTCACCTGAAGGTCAGGTCAGGTCATTCATTACCTATGATGACCTCGGTACTTTTTTCAAATTATACATGTTTCCAGGCTAGTTTTTGGAGCTGAATCCGAATTTAACAACCATTTGAACATTTACGAAGTAGTTTTGGTGCCTTCGTAACATGTTACGAAGCTGCCAGAGGCGGCTGACACGTAGGTACTACGAATACCCGGCAGGACTCCTATTGGTTGACCTGACCTGACCTGACCCGACCTGGCCTAAATGCATACTCTTGCCTTGGGCCGGGTTTGTTGTGGCGTGGTGATGTGGTGACGTAGATTCTGTCTGCTATCGTGGTCCCGGCATGGTGTTACTTAGCGCGGGGTACGGGCCCGACCGTTGCGCCAAGTGCGCTGAAATTTGCGCAACTTATAGATCAAGGATGGGCAACGTGCCTTTGGGGGTCTCAGCTCGATCGGATCGATAGCGAGCACATGGCGCGTGCTCAAAAAGTGCAAATTCGCGTCATGGACTTTACATGTATACATATAAATCCGCTTGCGAAATCGGGCGAAAATGGCTAAATATGATGCCAGACACTGGTCCGGTACCCATGCAGTATCTCGGTAACCGTGGGCCCAATCGGCACGGGGAACACAGTATCGTGTAGAGAATCGAAAGGGCTATCGAATGGTGTGCGGTGCAGGGATGGCACGCGCCACGTGCACCCGTGAGGGCACTTATGCTGGAAAATTTACGTTTCGGACAGATTTGGGACTTAATGCTATTTTCGGGTGACTGTTTGACGGAGCGGGTTCAAACAACGCCTGTTGGCAAAAGAAAGGTACCGCCTCTCATGGAAAAATTGTGAAAAGCTAATTGATCAAAAACAAGGTGCAGAACAAATCGCTGGAGAGAATGGTATTTGTTAATGACTTACTTAATTACATGGGTTTTACTGCATAACCTGGTACGTTTGACAGTTGAAAATGGCAGAGTTGGAAAGAACATTTAATTTTGTCCAAAATCCAATCATCGCTTTTGCATGACGAGCAACAGTATTCTTAAAAATATAAATGTTGCAAACCTCTACAAAGTAATTCATCGATCGCTATCATTTTTCAATAACCTACGTCAACCTTTGTTATAAACTACACATGACATGTTCTATAGTAGAACGCATGCTTATCAGACACGAGCACCTCGATGCAATGGATACTTTTTCCCAAACCATAATGCTTAGCCGTCAAAAAGCAATCAACCGAAATGGATACATAACCCACGGACACAAGACCAGCCAAACGCCCACCGATCGAAAATACCCCTTATTCGCTTTGGGGAGCAAGCGAGTCACCCTAGCGGGCCCCATTCAACCAGGGGCCCGGGACCTATCCACACGGGGGCCCGAGCCACGTCCACCTGGGGCTCCGGGCCCCGTCCACCAGGGGGCCCGGGCCCCGTCCACTAGGGGGCCCGGGCCCCATTCATCCGGGGGCCGGGCCCCATTCATCCGGGGTCCGGCGTCCACCTGGGGCCCGTTCTCCCGGGGGCCCGGGCAACATCCACCCGGGGGCCCGGACCCATCCACGGGGTCCTGGGCCCCATCCACCCAGGGGTCTCGGGCCCATTCTCCCAGGGGCCCGGGCCCGTTCTCCGGGAGGCCCGGGTCCGTTCTCCAATCTCCCGGGGGCCCGGGCCCCATCCAACCGGGGGTCCGGGCCCCGTCCACCCGGGGCCCGGGGCCCGTTCTCCCGGGGGCCCGGGGCCCGTTCTCCCGGGGACCCGGACCCATCCACGGGGGCCCGGGCCCTATCCACCAAGGAGGCCCGGGTCCCGTCCACCTGGGGCCCAGGCCGACCCCTCACCCGTGGTGTCCCAGTAGGCATTTCTCGAAGCGGGCTCGTCCGATTAGATTAGGGTCTCTCTCCTCCCTCTCTCTCTCTCTCTCTCTCTCTCTCTCTCTCTCTCTCTCTCTCTCTCTCTCTCTCTCTCTCTCTCTCTCTCTCTCTCTCTCTCCTTCTCTCGAGCGGGCCCCTGACAGAAATTTCGGGGGGGTCAGCTGACCCTCTGACCCCCCCCCTGGCTGCGCCACTGCTTAAAGCACGCCACATCATTCCCAGTAAATACTCCTCAGCCATTTAACAGTAACTGCGGAAGTCCCCTCCCCATTTCAACACCCACACACGCACACAAAACACAGTAAACTATAAGGACCGAATAAACACAGAAATTATACAACTCAAATAATGTATCAATCAACAAAAAAGCAATAAAGTCAAACACCAGGTAATACAATCTAATTGGACCAAACTGAACACTGAGCACAGTCTTGTTGTACAGCACTGTGGTATATGATCGGACGTGCGTTCTCTCACCGGCTTCATGTTGCTGACCACCGACTAGATTATCGACTGAAGACGCCGCCGGTGACCTTCCGATATATACCTGGCCGCCGCGCGGTGCGTCATTCGCCCCCAGGAAAGGACACGTGACCTCGGAGCACCGCAAGGCGCAATAGATGTGCCTGTGACGCATATTTACGTCTGGACAACGAGTTGCGTTGGAGAGGCCGGAAATAGTGGCGATTTCAGGACCGCCAGAATGGACCGTCATTGGAATGATTCTTTTTTAAACCGTGCACTGTTTTCGGCCGGAATTTAATAGTTACTACAAAATGTTTTGTGATTACGTTTCCAGCAAGAATGAATGCCATCAGGGCTAAATTTTTACTACTTTTGCATTTTGTCAAGAAGCATATAGTGTTGTTATATTGCAGTTTTAGCGCGTTTGTTACAAAATATGAAGCGAATAAGCGTCAGTGTAATTCATCAGTGTCAGAAATTGACTTGAGGGGAAGCTATGCTAACTGCTTTTGTCCATCCACTAGAAGTTTTTAAATATTTTGCTTTGTGTATTCCAAAAGGAGAGGGAACTATTTTATTTGTCGACATGTTAAATTTTCAAGGCAGTTTACAAACAAGCATTTGGTCTTTCTCGTATATAAGCAGTGGCTAAGAAGAAAAGGTTGATCAATCCTGAAGTTCAGTCATCGTACCTCCACTTGGCAGCAAGATCCCCAAGGACAGAGGATATATTGTGTACCTGTCCTGTAAATCAAAGCATTTTTGTGCTTGCAAAGGCTTAAGTTCTTTGTGGTGTGTTCGGAGTGAGGCTATATGGCCGTTTTTGTTGTATGTTTATGTGGAGATTGAATATAACTGTGACCCTGTGCTTGTTTGTATACTTACTATGGTCAAACAGGGAACAGCACATTCACATAACATACTCACCTAGCACCTAACTCATAGCTGTACGTTGCAGGATCTGTACTTGTTCATGTCTCGAGCATTAACAAAGCACTAAAGTAGCTTAGTAATCATTTTCCACATTTTCTGAGCATCTAACATGACATACAGCAGCTTGCAGAGCAGCTTCAGAGAAGAAACACTTTAAATGCACAGACTCACACCAGCCACCCAATGAGCCAGTTCCTCAGTTGACTGTTTCCCTGGATGCAGCTTGGCAAGGTGAGCTAACTATTGGCAAGTTGAAGGTTAGCAGGTAAGATTGAGTTAGGGTGAGTACCTACCTATAACTGGGTGCTACTGCTATGCAGGTCTTGGCCAGGCTGCAAATATGTGTGATGATTGAGGTTAGGTCAGCTGTCAGGTTATTCAGGTATGCTCATTGCTCAGGTCACATTTTTATGGACACTTGGCAACCTAAAAAACTAACATCCTAATCTAAGCTAACCCGACTAAACCTACATAACTGCTGACTATAGGAACTAAGCACCTACCTACTTGTGCCTACATGTCATACCATGTCAAAGTAGAGTTCCTTGGTGGAAGATTACCCTCAGTACTTTTTATCCCAGCCCTGTGAAGAAAACTAATACTTCTAAGTTCTAAGCTCTGAGTCACTGCTGGCCAGCCACAGGCAGAAACGCTGAAACTGAGAGCTTTGCCATTGTACAGGGTGTCCGGATAGTTCTGGCGCTTTTCAACATTTTCTAAAACAAATGCCATTGGTTCATAGATACTAATCAATGGATCATAACAATGACCAGGGACACCAAGCCACATGCTTCCGCTACGTGCTCATTCAATGTAACCACCGTCGGCGCCGACGACGGCCTCGACGTAGGGAATGAAGCGTCTGCGGGTTTTGACGATGCGGGGCATTTCCAGGTCCTCCCATGCTGTCATGATGCGAGTCTTCAGCGACTCCAGGTTGGGGTGAGAAATGGCCTAGATCCTGTTCTACAAAACGCGTAGCACGCCTTAGTCGAGCGGGTCAGGTTAGGAGAATAAGGCGGCCTAATCTCATTTCGCCACGGTGATCTGGCCCGGCAAGCTCCTCTGTCAGTTTAGCTTGAATGGCGGCGGCGTTGTTGGAGGGTGCTCTGTGCTGTTGAAATGCGAAGTGACCCTTAGGGCATGTCGTCTTGACCCTCGGGTTGATGTGGCTGTCCAGGAACCCCTCGTGGGCCAGCCTGTTATTCATTTATTCGACATTGACGAAGATGATGGGACATTTTTGTCCATCAGACCCCCGCACTTTCTTCGATTGCCGCGTTGAAATGCTGCTCCGTTCCCATATCGCGTTCGAAACGGTCTGAGGATATTTTTTAAGGAATTCCCGAGTCGAAATAAACCTTTACCTGCTAAACCATTCATCGAAAAACGCCGCATCGCGCTGCAACTCGCGCCTCGTTCAAGTCGCACCCGGCCGCCGCGCGCAGGCATTCAGCGACAAGGCGCATCTTCGCCCATCTACCCATCACTGAAAACGATTTCAAGGTCATATTTACACGACCCCTGGCTGAGCAATCAACGAGGGGTCATGTCTGTGATGATTGGCTGAATGTCCAATAATCACAGCGCGCGTTACACGGCGTCCAAAAGAAGCGCCAGGACTTTCCGGACACCCTGTATATTGGACCAACAATCACATATCACGAATGACTATGAACACATTATATGATCACACCGTTGCATGGATTGTCACATTGACAATTTTATAACAATCCTTTTTTCAAGAAATACAGTAATGATTAACCTCAAAATCAACATAAAGTGGATTTAGTGATCCAAGCTTTCTCCTCCAGTAGCAATGGAATGACTGCATGTTTCATTTGCCAGACACTGAGTACCTGATGCACATATTACAATCTGCAGTGCATAGCATCTAAGCATAGTAAAGCTGCCAAAGTCCATTCATTCTAGATTTTTAACTTGATAGTTAGCACTAATTTATCTTGCTGTTGTAAGTTATCATTCAATATTCATACCAATCCAATACATCAATATGCGCTCATCAGACAACATTTTCTGGCATGATCCTGCTCAGCGCGCTCTTCAGTATTGCTCCAAGATCTGCAATATCATAGCTTGTTTTCGGCCAATAAGCTCTTTTAATTTTACTTTTTCTTGCTGATATATGAGCCCGATCAACTTGTGTTTATCAACCAAAATTTCATAACTTCAAGTTCAACTTGATATTGATATTGTTCAGGAGTCAGGACCTCTGTCAGCTTCCTGGATACTTCGGATTGTTTTCAATCACATGCTTTTTAAATATGATATAAGTCAATCTTAAAGGATTCAAAACATCCAACAAAACGACGTACAAGAGTACGGAAACAACCAGATAAACTTAAAAAGCGCCTTGGAACAGAGCCAAGTGGTGCTCCATTTGTTTGTTTACAATGATTGTAGTGCTGATGTATTTTTAGGACTCTGAATGTCGGCTTATAAAAAATGAAACGTTTTTACAAAAGTTGTAAGGTGATTAATATTTATCTGAAAGAACTAAAATATTCAAAAGCCAAACACTACGAAATACATGAATCAGAACGAAAAAGTAACCCCAAAATCCAGCCTAATTACCGGCTCCTAAAACTGCAACAAAAGCAGCACTTTTCCCCGCAACTCGTTGTCCAGACGTAAATATGCGCCTGTGACACTGACACCCGTCTGTCGGGTCGGTTTGTGCCGGAATAGGGTCAAACTATTGCAGCAAGACCGAGATCCGGGGTGTTCCGGACGCTTCAGGGGTGAATCAGAACAGCTCCGCAACCGTACGATTTTTACAAGCGAGTCCTTCGACTGTACTTAACTGGGAGGGAGGGGGGCTCTGCAGGGCGCCTTCCTGTTTCGCAACATCTTCTAAGTCTAGGCCTATCAACATCATACTACCTTTACCTTCTGGCTGCATAAACATGTCACAATGTCCTATAACTTCGTATAGATTGGCGGAAAATGACGCCCAGAGTAACGTCATTTTTATGCTGTTAGGATAGGTCCTGTCAGGTCAGATCAGGTCGATCTTTAGACGTTCCGCCGGCTATGCCTACATAGTATAGGTGCTTATAAGCACATAGGCAACTCCGTATACGGAGTCCCAGGGGCTGGGTAGCTTCGCAACATGGGCCATGGGCTCAGAAACTAGCTCCTACAGAGTGTTTTACTAAAAGTGTCAAAAAGAAAATGCCTATGATGCATAAAATATGCACAGCATGTCGTTGCGCACGTGGATTTGTTTCAAATTCTTGGACATTTATGTTTTGCTCACATTCGTTATATTTTACACTCATGCGGAGCGAGGGCAGGAGGTCAAATGAGCAAGTCCTTTTTTTCCTTATGCAGAACAAAAACAGGTCATTTACGCCGCAACAAGAGGGCTGGATCAGTCGACCCGGACCCTGACATCTGTACGTACATCGTTGAACATCATGTTCCATTACAGGTGGAAGGTAAGACTGCCAAAAAAAAAAAAAAAACGAAACCAAGGTGTCAAAAGCTCACAAGACACATAGCCAAACACTATACTGGAGGGTCCAGTAATGCCTAAGGCGTAGTACGCACGTGCGTAGTTTTACAGCTCTCCGTTCAGTGGCGATCAGAGATTAGACTCCGGGGTGGCATGCCCCAAATGGAGTGAATATTCCCGTTTTTCGATTATGGCGAGCATTCTGTTGCAGGTGGAACTGTGACGCGTTAGATAAAGTTGTCCAATTGGAACACGAATCTGTGAGATACTCTCTTTTGATGATAGGCATCACCATTAATGATTGGTGCTAGGTTTCGTCCGATTACAGTACCTATATGCGCACATTACTTCAGCGGTGACCTGTACCTCAGTCGCCGAGGCCCCTTCCCACCCACCCAGTCGAGTATCCGGTTAGGTCGGTGGATCAGCCATGTCTACTGTCTAGCGCACCGAGCCCCCGCAGTTTCAGGGTCGCCTCGCCTCCACTACGCCGTCTTCCGACCGGATGGTGATGTCAAAACGACGACAGAACTCTGGAGGGATCCAACAAAACTGCCTCTGACCACAACGCCCGTGCCGAAAACCCACAACTAGCAGACACAGGCGGAACTGGGGGCCAATTTGGGACTACCGGCTGAGAGTAACCCAGTTCTTAGTTTGATGGTGGCAGTGCGGCAGAAAAACAGACTGAGCAAGTTTTCTATCGTTGTTGCAAAGCGTGTTGTCGGGTTTGAAAGATGGAAGTGTGTATGGTCTTTTCACGTCAGTTGTGCAAAATACGTTAACGCTTGGCGTCAGAGGTGCAGCCGGCCCCCCGTTTTCCAACCCATCCTCGGAAGTAATTGGTAGGTGGTCTTACCAAGAAGGAAAAGTTGTTTGGTAGCGGAAGCTACCAAATAACCTTTGTAGGGATCATCTATGCAATTTGTCATCTATGCGATTTGTCATTTCATGTTGTCATTCTCATTTATATTGTCACCGCTTTATTAATCAATCTGTTACCTGTTGTCAATTGCGCGTCATGTTTGTTATTTGTAAACCGGCCTGCCGCTGGCCTCAACCTTCCTAGTAACCGCTGTGCCATACGCTATAGAACGTGTCGTGCAAAGGTCACGGCGGCACCCCTGAGGCGGCCGCTGCCCGTACGTTTAGGAGCCCATTGTCGTGACGTCATGACTGTGGACAAAGGTCGCGGTAGGGGCTCTCCCGGCAGCCGGACGGTGACTCATACGTTGAGCTTGTCTCTCGCCGCGCCTGCGGGCATATTGGTAGTACTAGGGACGGCCAGCATGTGACCGCGGTTTTCGTCCCTTCCCCTGCTATAGCCTTGAGCTAGCGGGGATGCAAAATTCAAAAAAAAAAAAAAAAAAAAAAAAAAAAAAAAACGACATTGTCAATTCGTTTTTCGACTCTGCTGTTCGCTGCAAGACCAATACACATAGAAAACGGCTCGGGCATTTGGAGAAGAGCGGCTACTCTGAGGCGAGGGAAGAACACGGAGATTCACACAAACGACCTGACTAGGTTGCACCGGCCACAGTCATCCCTCTGCCGGACATCCGCACCACCACGGTCGCCCGCGCCTTCCTCGAGCACTGGGTCGCCCGATTCGGCGTTCCGTCCATCATCACGACGGACCGAGGCGCCCAGTTCGAGTCGGCCCTCTGGTCGGAGCTACAGCGATTCCTGGGCTGCCAGCGAACTCGGACGACGTCCTACCACCCGGCCTGCAACGGTATGGTGGAACGCCTGCATCGCCAGCTGAAGGCCAGCCTCCGTGCACACCAGGCTACGTCATGGACGGACGTGCTGCCGCTGGTGCTCCTGGGCATACGCTCCACCATCAAGGCGGACCTGCAGGCGACGTCAGCCGAGCTGGTGTACGGCTCCTCACTGCGGCTTCCCGGCGAGTTCTTCATCAGCAGCCAAGCCTCAGCAGCATCACCGGCCGGTTTCGTACAGGACCTGAAGCGCGCCATGTCTCAGGTGCGGCCGACACTCCCACGTCCGGTCCAGCGCGCCACGTACGTCCCGACGGCACTCCAGACGGCGACACACGTCTTCGTGCGCAGGGACTGTCACCGCTACCCGCTGGACGCTCCATACGACGGACCGTTCCCGGTTACCGAAAGGACCACCAAAACCATCACCATCGACCGTCGACAGAAAAAGGAGGTCATCAGCATCGACCGGTGTAAGGTCGCCTTCCTGGAGACGCCAGACGAATCCGGTCATCGACAGTCTGACCTGCCGACTGTGCAGCCGCACGGTACTCAGTCCAGCGGCCCGCCGGCCGCACCACCGCTCAGCAATGAGCCCAGCGGCCCGGAGCTTCTGATCTACGGTGACGCACCAACTCGCCCTGCAGCCGTCGCTCGGGCTGACGCTGCACCATTGCAGCCTCAGCCGATACTACGGACGACCCGCTCCGGCCGCGTCGTACGACCTCCGGTAAGATATCGCCATGTCACTTTTGTCCGCGACATGTCTGGCGAGGGGGTACTGTAGGGATCATCTATGCAATTTGTCATCTATGCGATTTGTCATTTCATGTTGTCATTCTCATTTATATTGTCACCGCTTTATTAATCAATCTGTTACCTGTTGTCAATTGCGCGTCATGTTTGTTATTTGTAAACCGGCCTGCCGCTGGCCTCAACCTTCCTAGTAACCGCTGTGCCATACGCTATAGAACGTGTCGTGCAAAGGTCACGGCGGCACCCCTGAGGCGGCCGCTGCCCGTACGTTTAGGAGCCCATTGTCGTGACGTCATGACTGTGGACAAAGGTCGCGGTAGGGGCTCTCCCGGCAGCCGGACGGTGACTCATACGTTGAGCTTGTCTCTCGCCGCGCCTGCGGGCATATTGGTAGTACTAGGGACGGCCAGCATGTGACCGCGGTTTTCGGCGACATTGTCAATTCGTTTTTCGACTCTGCTGTTCGCTGCAAGACCAATACACATAGAAAACGGCTCGGGCATTTGGAGAAGAGCGGCTACTCTGAGGCGAGGGAAGAACACGGAGATTCACACAAACGACCTGACTAGGTTGCACCGGCCACAGTCGACCGAGGTGGGCTTCCGCGCCCTTAAAGGGACCCTCCCACCTTAACATTAGTTTTGAGTTGAGATAGCCAAGTTTGCGGCCAGGCTCAGAAACCACCATTTATCCCGGCCGCAACCCCCGCAGCTTTATGGTGTTCAAGAAATTTCTTCCCTTTACTTGCAGGGTGGGACCAGCGTGGTCCCTATCTCTTAACCATTACGGGAATCTGATGACATCATCAGGCTTTCGAACGTCCGTTAAATGTTTGACTAAAACGTTTTGTAGCACGCGGTGGTATATGCTGCTTTGCGCGCAACAAATGCCGCACTTTCAAATAAAGTCGCTAGGAACAGCGGAGATCCCAAAAAGTAAACAAAAGTAAAAGTCTAATATCTTGAAAACCGGTGAATATTTTTCGATGAAATTTGGTAGATATTCGTTTTTGCTCTTTCTGAACCGAGCGACATCACTTTCATGCCAATTCATTAACTTTTTTGAAGGTGGGAGGGTCCCTTTAAGGACGCCTCTGACTGGCCATTGCGCTGACACCCTGGTCGGACCACGGTCATATATCGGGGTTACATGAGCACAGTAAATACGTATTTAGCCGCTAATTCGAATTAGGAACGCATTACCGACTCATGTAGCCACCTGCTAGTACGAATCGGCGATCCGATCCGCGGTTACATGAGCAAAGCAAATACGTATCACGATCGGATTCACCGCTAATGCGAATCAGGAGCGTACTACCGACTCATGTATCCACCTGCTAATACGAATCGGCGGTCCGAACAAAATCCGCTGGGAAAGAGGCTTAGAAGCGAATAGGACCAAGATACGTATTACAGGAACTATTTCTTCGCAAAAAGAAACATTAAAATGCAAAATAATTGGTATTTTTTCATTTTCTTCTTTTGAAATAATATTTAAAAAAAATATGTCGGTATTTTGTCAAGTTTTCAACAATAAATATAGTGAAAACCAAATAGTAAATATCCACATAATTTCAGTTGAAACATTTTTCTGACAGCACTACAGACGAATCAAGAGAGGCAATTGCCCAATGAGTCAAAGCAAGACAACTTTATGTTCAACTTTTTTTTGTTAAGTTAATTGAGAATGTTTTGAGCAGATTAAATGCAAAAAAGACATAAGATAATGAATTTTTGATTTAGTCACCTCTATTGCTACGGAAGTGCGCCACATTTGTATGCTATTCCGTTTGTAATGCGCATCGGGCCGAGAGCCAAACTAGATCCGTTTGACGTCACTGATACGAATTTGCTCATGTAGTCGGTGCACTGAATGCGTTCTTGGGGAGCTGATGCGAATTAGCGTAGTGCGTATTTGGAACGGATCCCTCATGTAACCGAAACGTCCGAGGCACACGATTCGGGCCGTATTTCACAAGAACTATTCTTTGCTGACTGGAAGCGTCAAAATGCAAAATACTAAGCATTTTTTTATTGGCTGCCTCGTAGAAAATAGCAAAAAAATGTTGGTATTTTGGTTTAGTCTTTGGATGTGAAATAAAATGAATGAAATATTTTGATACATAATTTTTTCTGACCACCCTGCTGTCGCTGCATGGCGAATCAGTGCCCACTGACTTAAAACAAGAAAACTTTGTTTTCATTTTTTGATTTCATGTTAATTTTAAATGTTTTTGAGCCTATCAAATGATATAAGCATTTAAAATTTAGTTCAGTCGTCCCGGTAAATGCCGCAACTGCGCCATGACTGTACGCTAATCCTATTCCGTTTGTGATACGAATTACCGGCCGTCGAGGAGTCAGCCCGGGTGAGCCAAACAAGATCCGTTTGACGTAGATAAAACGAATTAGTCTCATGTAACCGGTGCCGTAGATACGTTTGTGGGGAGCTGATGCGCATTAGCGTAGTGCGTATTTGGAACGGATCGCTCATGTAACCCCGGTAATTGATCGGACCCTGCCACTGGTTCGTGCTCAGGCTGCCTTAGCGGGTAGACCTGCTCGACCAGACGCCCCCACTGGTGGGCGAGTGCTCGGTTCCGACTTTCACCGCCGGTCCAACAGCGTTCTGCTGGTTCCCGCCGATCCGGTTACGACACCGCAAGTGCCGTACCGACTCGGGCGTCCCAGGTGGGCGTAACGGTTACCACACCAGTTCGCGACCCCCAGGCTCTGTCAGCCGTCGTACGGCTCTCGGACGGACACTCTAATAGATCAGCCACAGATCAATAGGTTGTTACAGACCGTCCGTCCAGCCAAGCGCTACCCACAGCGCAGTACGACACCTTTGCTTTTGGTAGCATGGCATACTAAACAAAAGTCGGTACGGTGGTACTGGTTAGGGATGAAAGCGGAAGCGGAAAAGGCGATAGAGACGATAAAATTTGTACTTACGGATTGCGCGATTTGCGAAATCATTTGGCGCCATTTTGGGTCCTGAAAACGATTGCGCGGTTTCGTTGACGCGGCGTACCTCGACCTGTTTCCCTTGCGCGAGTTTTTAGTATTAGGGACTTTGAATGGTCACGGCTTGCAAGTTTGCTTAATTGCTCATTCAACATACCAGCTGGAGATCTGTAGCGTTGCGTTGGGTTCATGACTCGTTGCAAAACAATATGAGCAAGGCCATTGGGAAAACGTCCGGACTCCGGCATGGGACGTCCTCGTCCTGGAATGAAATGGGTAAGTACTCCAATATCAGGCTTTTTGATCGTCTATTTAATTGTTAAATTTTATCAGAGGTAGTGTTCCAATTGGGATTTGTCCAGATGACATCAACATTGGTAACTTTCCTGTTTACAAGCTGCTTACTCTTATCACTGGTAGATTGAATAAATAGGTTAATACGAACAATATGTTGATGTAATTTAGCAGGTGGCGTCTCCATAGAAACCCTGTTCGACAAGCTTTGGAAGCTCGCTGGCAGTGTTCTGAAACGTGGGCTCTGTTCGCTCGCTGCTGCCAAAACAGCTTCCCAACAGCCCGCTAGATTGAGATGGCCTAACTGTGTTAAGATGCGAGGGCTGTGCTGTTGACCAATGATTGGTCGAGAAATGCACGCAGGCCGTGACGTAGGCTGCTGACGTCTATCAGGCTGACCAGGGGCAATCGCTGAAGCAAGGATATATGTCTCCTTTACATAACACATAGCGTACTGTGATGACGTCATGCAACTGTGATGGCAATCAGGCGCTGACTTTATAATCTGCTGACTAAAAAACAGCAACTGAACTTACAGCGCCATGGTCCTAGAAAGTGGCCGACACAATTGACCCTCCCACCTTCAAAAAATTATTTGGCAATTAAGTGATTTCTTGGTGGTGTTTCGCCAGAGCTGCTAGTTCGTTGCCAGCACTCGTGTCTGCTTGGGTTTCCATGGAGACAGCAACAAGCCCTCCAACAAGCTCCAACACCGCTGAAGCATGATGTCAGCTTGCTGAATGCGCCTGCAGCACGGCTGAAGGATCAAAAATGAATGTGTACCAAATTTCACTTAAAATATTGGGTACTTAACTTGTTTACAGGATACCTATTTTTTTAATAAATTTAGTCCGAATGGTTGAATGGGTGGATTTTGAGGAATCAGAGCCCGTACTAAGCATAGCTTGTTGTGCTGACCCTGACCCCACCACCCAATCGCGCAATTCCAATTGTATGGCAGAATTTTGTCTGAACGTTTAACGTGCCCTCACGACTGGGCACAGCCCCCTCCGCTTACTCACGTTACCTGGCTTCTGCGCGGCCCCTGCCACAGACATGCACGCCATCACACGTAGTAGCTAAATGTAGCTGCCTGCACCGGGGCTTAAACCGGGCTCTCACTACCGGCTAAGCCTCAAATTCCGGCGCTTTAATCCACTCGGCCACGGAGGGGACTAATTACCTTTTCGTATTAGTTATCCTATTTTGTTCCCTTTTTGGGACCTCTGCTGTTTGTTCCTGTGATGTCATTCGGAAGCAATGATTTGGCATCCAGATGGCGCATAAAGAGACCATCCCACTTCACATAAGTTCTGAGTTCTTCTTCTTCATGGATTAGGGTGCGTAGCCGTCAGCCTAGTTCTGAGTTAAGATAGCCAAATTGAGGTCCCTGTCCCTTGGCTTGCACTTACCAGTTTGGGCACTCACATGGTGGTGAGATGTGGAATTGGCATAGAAATTAGGATGAGCTTAGAGGAGTGACAGGAACAATTTTTTGAAACGGGAGGTTAAGGGAGCTTGGAGGAGGTTGGAAGAGCGACGGGAACAGACCCTATGGGCTTAGGGCTATGACTGTGGCCCTGTTTGTTTGCTGCTGTCAACACAGCTTTCCCTGTTTGGGGTGGCACACAGCTACCCTGCCGGCTGCGCCATGTACATTCCCCAACATCCCATTAGGTGGCTACTGTGTTGTAGGGACAGGACTGGACAAGACTATGAAAGGACTGTGCTGTTGACCAATGAGAGGCTGAGAAATGCATGCAGAGGCAGGATTGCTGACATACACTGACGTAGGCTGCTAACATCTGCACAGCGCTTACTATGGACAACCACATGTGTTGTAAAGGTTTCATTCACACATAACATAGCTAGCAGTGATAAAGTCAGGTAACTGTGGTGTAAATAGACGAGCAGACATCATAAGTCTGTTGAGAAATAAACTTTGGATGAACAGGGCCAGGTATTCCACTGGTGGCACAGTATTTAAAACTGGGCCCTGTTTCACTGAATATGATAGCAGCACACTGGCGGCACATTTCTTGAGCTGACGTAATGTGATGACGTCATATTATTGACTAACAAGCGAATTAGCACAGTGAACAGGCAGGCCCACATTCATTGGGCTTTAACTAACAAAAGCACTTCCTTTTTTACAGATGACTTGCTGTTTGATGATTCAGTTCTTCAGGAAAGTGAAGTACCGCTTCAGGCTCATGGCCGCTATCTAAATAATAGAAGAGGCAACTCTAAACCAGGCAAATGTCACAAGCCAAGGGCAATGAAAGGTCAGTATTTCATAAATGTCTGAATGGTTTTGTATATGGCTGTGGGCCTGGGTGCCTGCAAAGTACCATATCCCCCCCCCCCTGACCGGGCTCACCTGCACCTTGTTCACCAGCATTAATTTGAATAATAAAAGATGTAACACAGTAGATAGCAGCACAGCCCTCTGAGGTCTGTTGTGGCCCTCTTGCCTGTTGCCAGCTGGCTTAGTGCGGATATATGGGTCAAACAAAGCTATGTGAATCAGGTAGAACGCTTCCGGCGAGAAGTGGGGACAGATGAGTTTAGTAACTGCGACTCTGAGGGCCAAACAAACTTAGGTTGCCATGGTAATGGGCGAATTTGGCATGAGTACGCATATACTCATTTTTCAATGAATTATTTCAGAAAAAAGCAAACATACTTGTTGTATCAGTACAATAATGAATTGCAGTTTTCATAAATGATCCGTGTTTGGCCTAAATAATATCAAAATCAACTCTTAAACTGAATGGCTTGTGCTGCCATAGGTTACCTCCAGGGGTGGAAATCTGTCAAAATGTCAGGGGGGTCCAGGCCGGACAGATGGAGGCGGGCTGGATGCAGAACCATTGACTTACATGGCAGTAATTCGTTTTCAGGGGGGGGTCCTGCCTGACCCCCCACCCCCGAGATCTCCACCTCTGGGCCCTGTTTCACCGGTGATAGCAGCACGCTGCTATCAAATTGCGCGAGCTGACGTAATGTGATAACGTCATACTGCTGACGTAAGGGGCAATTCTGGCGCACGATTACCGCAATATTGTTTTACGTCATCAACTTATTTTCCTTAAACCCGACTTCTTTTAAATACATCATATTAAAAAAAAATCTATATTAAAAATGAATATGCTATCATGTCTCATGACTGCGTTAACTCTTACTTTTATTTAGGCTCATACGTCACTTACTGCCGCGGCCAAGGTCGCGGCAATCGTGCGCCGGAACTGCCCATCACGTCAGCAGTATGGCGTCATGACATGACGTCAGCTCGCGAAACGTGATAGCAGCGTGCTGCTATCACCGGTGAAACAGGGCCCTGGTTACCTGACACTCTGGATCCCGAAATTGTCACTAGCTTATCTGCCAAATTTGTTGTTAAGAATGCTCAAGGTGCTGACAGCGCTAGCGCAAGTGTCGCCACTTTTCGTGATGCCAAAAGGTATAATATGAAGTGACTTAAACTCAAGTAAAGACCAAGAATGGTCATGCCTGTGGGCAAGCAATATTTACCAGTATAACGCCTTTGGGGGCGACTAACGGAGCGAGCGAGAGGGTGGGCCTTGCACGTGCGAAATTTCGAGGGGTACCTCCAGCTGACTTGTGCACGGCACCCTACTAACCGGTCTCCAGCGATGTGCCAAATTTGAGCACAATCGGCCCAGCCGTTCTCGAGATCTGGAAGCGGCACCCTGCACGTGCGCACGTGCACAATGGGTCCCAACTGACTTGTGCACGGCACCCTACTAACTGGTCCCTAACCGTGTACCAAATTTGAGCGCCATCGGTCCAGCCGTTCTCGAGATCTGGAAACGACCCCGGCACGTGCGCACGTGCAACAGCACCCCAACTCTGGCACATGGATATCCATTGCTTAGTGGGTGCCTACCTACATGCCAACTTTGAGCGCAATCGGCCAAGTAGTCACCGATATATTGCAACTATTACAAAGCTGACACCAGCTCTTCGTTTTGCACGTCAACGTGGCACGTGCATAAGGGGTCACTCACATGTATCGGGAATAGTCCAAAACTTGGTAGAAGGAATGAAGCTACCCTACAAAAATTACCGCATGTAAATCGGTCAAGTGGTTGCTGAGATGAGCGTCGCAAAATCGTGACCACGGCCGGCCGGCCGGCCGCTCATACTCAGAAATTTCCATTATTCTACGTAAGACTCCGCTCGTTTCGCTCGCTCCGGAATAAGTTTCAACCCTAAGCATGTTTTATCATATGACTTCATCAGTAATTGGTTGTCAGCCCGTTGGTGATGTGTCAATAAACTAAACTAAACTAAATATGCTTAGCATGCATTTGAAGGTTGTTGTGATGTTTGCAGAGAATGACACATGCCATTTTCCCATCATAGAACGCACATGGGGGGGGGGGGGGGTGCTACCACTCCCGCGCCATTTCGTTCCTGTTGGAGATAGAGCTTCGCGGTAAAGACCAAAAAGATTCTATGGGAAGAGACGAATCCAATGATACCCAGTTTTACCTTCTCAGGTCAGTCATTGACCTTCCAGGTCAGGTCAACCTAAACACTGTTGCTGTCTTGGGTCACCGTCGGATATCAAGTGCGCTGCTCATCATATACCAATGACGATGCCGTTTTGTGGTGCCAAGCCAGCTAGAACCTCTTTGTCACACTATCCGACCACGTTTTTGCTGCTGAGGTAATTTCAGGTCAAGTTAGGTCAAGGTCAATGATATGTGTTTGTCAGTGTGTGTCTGTCTGTGTGTATACTGATGTTTGCACCGATTGTTTATGTGTCCATATTACATGAGATTATGAAATGAGAAGCCTTTACGGAAAATACAGCCAAAGAAACTTCACGAAAAGTAAATTCAGCTTGCCTAAAATGCAATGTTTTTAGAAGACCTAGGTTGACCTTGACCCTGACCTTGACATCTGTACATCGTCGAACAACATGTTCCATGATAGGTGGGAGGTAAGACTGGCAAAAAAGGCCGAAATATCAAGGTGTCAAAAGCTCACAAGGCCGATAGCCAACGAAAGATATTGGGTATTTGTCATTTTAAAGAACAAGGTCATATCTCCAAAACCAAAAACCACAGAAACTTGAAATTTTCATTGGATATCAAGAAAGGATAGATGATACGAAAAATCAAGCTTCTATCTCTAAAAATGTTAGTGCAGAGCAGAAAAACTACTTGGGGGGGGGGTGCCAATCCCCCCTCCCCCCATGTGCGGGCGAGGGATATGGAAGTTGGAAGATATGGAAGGGACACCCTTTAGTTGAAAGCAGGGGCCGTATTCACGTCGATCATTTTCGTAAGAATTTTCTTACGCATGACCTAATTCTTCAGATTTTTTTTTAATCACGTGAACTCCGTCGATAAAAACTTACGAAGTGTCGACGTGAATACCAAATTATACTTGGGAAAGAAAATCGACTTACGAAGTCGACGTGAATACGGCCCCAGAGCACTTTCGTGCATGGGGCATATTTCATGGGATCACAAGTAGTTGCTCCTGGTCAAGGTAGATTGTAAAAATATTCCTAGCGTTGAGGCCCCCACTTCACTGTGGAAGGCAACACTTCCCCAGCATAAAATCGCAAAGGTATAATCTTTGTGCATTTTTAAACCTTTTCATTGCATCCATTTTTGTAATCCTGACTCTAAAAAAATGGGGTTAAGTTTTATAATTTTATGTTCGAGAAGCTCACTATTTATGGAACTGCTGCAAATTTGCATGTTCAAGTACCATTCCCCAACAATAGATTTTGAAATATGTCTATTACAAAAATAGTGGCGTGGGGTAGGTTCGTGTACGCACTGTAGGGACACATTCGTGCAACCTTTTTTCATCATTGCGGTCTATGACTGACTGTGTAGTAGGTTTCATTTATGATGCTCGCCTAGAGCTCAGTCTCGGCTCCCGGTGCGGCCGGCCACGGTGCATGCGATGTCATGAAATGGGAGTCACGTCGCCTGGGCGAGGTCAGGGAGGCGGGCCGATGGCCGGCAGCTGGTAGCCCATTCTTGGTGCTTACCCCAAATGCTTATTGGTTATCCCACCCCCTGCCATTTTTTTTAACTTTGTGGGGTGTGCTGAAGTGCCCCACCCCTTGCACAAAGTGCCCCATGCACTGGGTAGTTTCGTGCAAACCAATAGAGTTATTAGAAGTCTCTTTTAATAGAAAAAAAATGTTAGCAGATGACTCTTCTAGGTAAAAAATATTTGCAAGAGTTGTTTTCCATACCACAATCAACAATTTTATCATTGCTCCAACCAAAGAACATATATTTGGAATATTAATTATCCATTATTTTGCACAAAAGTGCCCCACCCTACCTGTTTATAATGCGTCACAGTAAATAATGTTCCAATTTTCAGGAAAAGCTGGTGCTCATCGGAAGAACATGGTCAGGCCTAGTGACCATCATGTTGCAGCTCCTGCAGCAACATTAGAACTGGAGTTGCAAGGGGCATTCGATCAAGGTATGTTCATGTTATATGATAAATGTGAGTGTCCGAACTGTTTCTTTATTAGCATATCTTAGTTATCTCACAATTTCACCTGCTTGTGGTAGCATCCATTACCACCAAAGGTTTTGTCTTCTAGGGGTCTATTCCACTGGATCCTCCCCAAAAATGATTAGAGGAGGCTGGATTTCGCCACGATTTTTGCGACCTAGGGTAGTGTGGGGTAATTTGAACATATTTTTACGTCTTCTCCGTTGTACCAAATTCCAGCTCAACCCTGGATGAAGAAAAACTGTTTCAGTAGCGCATGTGTCACTTGCTTTCACCATGCAAGCCTCATTTTTGGACGAGCCGAGCATACCTTGAATAGCATAGCATCACTTCTCCACCAAGTCACGGTGTGTTCAAATTGCCCCACCGTGGGGTAATTTGAACATACTGCCTTTATCTGCCATAAAAACGATAGTCTCGCCAGCACCGATGTTGTTTGACCCATAAACGAATAGGCAGAGCAATTCTAAACATAGCTTCATTTGAAAAAGCAACACAACAACAAAAATAACAGTTGCAGAGTATCAATATCTGCACGCTGCACACCGGTCAGTTGACAGAATTCGCCTCTCTTCAATGAACAGAACGTCTATCATCTCCGTTCGATAAAAACCCTACCAAACCTTACTTCATCTGTTATAGTGGTGCCAATCGGAACCTGGACATTCGGGAGTTCCGATTCTTTATAATGTCCAATTCGGAATTGATTGCACAAAGGTATAGTATTCTGGACAACGTTGGACGATTGCCTGCCACACTTACGCGTTTTCATCAAGTAATCGTGCGTAGCATTGATTGGCGAATGGAAAGCTTGTTAAGCTCTCAATATAATGAACACCTTTCGGCTGGTAAAATTACATGATAAGCAATATAAATGACGGTTTTGAGTGTTGATAGCTGCATAATTTTCGGACATATTTGGACAAATAATTGATTTTAACATTTTTTTGGACGGAAAATCAACGAAAATGCCGGACAGTAGACGGATATTAGACGTAAATTTTCTAAAACTGGCATCACTTATTTGCTACTGCTTTGGGTCGAAAATATTGGCAAAAAAAGAACTGGGAGCGTTGTTTTTTCGGAGCTATCCCTGTCTTCATTGAAATTCTCACACTATGCTCAAATTACCCCACGCTAAAAGTTATTTTGCCATTTTTAAAAACAGGATTCAAAAGCAAATTTCTTGGATTGAAGGCACTGATTAGGTCATTGTACAACAAAAGCCGTTGCGTATTAGGCGCTAGCAATGCAAGATTTTGCGCTGCAATGAAGTTGCAATGAAATGTTGTTAGGCGTTTTTCCTTGCGAAATTGATTTTTACACTGTGCGTCAACATCTTCATTCCCTGAAACTTTAAACCCCGTTCATATGATAGCCCTTTTGGTTACGATAATTTCTCTCATTGGTCTTACTGTCATGCCACTTATGGATTTTCCGTAATTTTGTGTTATTCACACTATGTTCAAATTGCCCCACATGTTCAAATTACCCCACCCTACCCTATAGAACATTTTTAGAGGAGATATCAGCTGCCTGCGACTGACAATAGCAGACGATTCTGGTGCACACAACAACGGTTAACCGGTAACCCGCACCCCGTAGGGCTATCGGCCGACCCTACCACCCGGACCCGTGGGGGGCGGGCGATAGCCCCCCCCCCCCCCTAAGATCTCGGAAAGTTACCAGCCGATTTTCAACATTCAAACGGCGTATGATATCCCCACCAGGGAATTACCTTGTGACCCAATTTCATTGACCTTGGTCCAACCAATGACGTGACAGGTGAGGTCAGGTCAAAGGTAGAATTTTTACCGTCAACAGATATTCCTAGAAAGGTGTTGTAAAATCGAAAAATGCATATGCGATTGAAACTCATCGATGGGTCATTGTTTGACAAACGCATATTCTGCTTTTTGAGGTCACTGATAGGTACCAGGTCAGGTCACTGAGGGTCACAGTATGAAAGTGTCATGGTACATGTTTTATGGTTGATTTTACATGACAAATGCGATGTTGTGGTTCAGGCAACCTTTGGGACCAGTTGCGGCTACGTTCTTGTAAAGGTCAGGTCAAATGAGGTCAAATTGTATAGTTGATATTGCTTACATAAAATGGGTATCGGTAGTCGGTACCATACAGCGCGTCACGGGGAGTCTTATGGTGGTCTTTGTTTTGCACTAAGAAGTCTAGAATTGCCAAACATATATTTTTTTAAATTGAGTTGTAATTTCTAAATTGAGTTTGATCGCGAACAAGTGAGGTGACGTCATCAGCCAAATTTGGTGAACAAACAGCGAACAGTTCACGAACGTTCATGAATCGTTCGCTATCACGGTGAAGAGGGGGTGGATATGGTCCCTTTCTAATAATTTTAGGATGTTGACCTCAGGTCAAGATCAGAGGGCTGTTCGGCTGCGCAGCCAAAATGAAATATGCTGCAGCACGCATGCGCAGTGAGGGCTACGGTTCCCGTTAGTCCCGCCCACACTACAGCGTCACCGCCTGTGTGACGTCAACTACTGAAGTATACTTCGTTTTCCTGCAGCCGGAAATTCGATGCTGCAGGAGGCGAAAGTGGCGCGGATTAAAGTTAACCGTCCAATATTTCTTATTGTAAGCGGTTTGTATGCTGTTTTTGGGGTATCATTATCACACTTTTCGGTGGCTTATTGGTATTCACCGCATTTGAACGCAATTTAAACGTTATTTGAGCGACAATCACCAGTCCACCCGCACAACGGTTCGCCGCGTTTGAAATAGGCTGCAGCGACGCTCGGCCGCGGCGTGTCGGCGGAGATTGGGCGGAGCCAGGCGGTTGACGTCACCCAAGTATGACGCACGCAGCACAGATCTATGCTGCAGGGACCCGAACAGCCCTCAGGTCAAAGCCACTTGGGCCAGAAAGCTGCTGGGAAGATATCGTTCTGCATATCATTCGATGTGGCAGTTCTTTCTGAGTCAATTAATGGTTCAACTGACTCGCTAGCCCAGTTTGATCAGAAGTTATGAGTGAAAAGCTAGAATTACACCAAACAAGTTAAAATTTTATGTCTTGTTTGATGTCATGCAATGTCTAGAATGCAAATTTAAGCTTTAGCATTGAATGAATCATAATAAACCTTGATATTATGGGCTTGAGATACGATTTGCGCGTTTTTTACTTGGCGAAAAAAGACGACTATAACCGTGTGAGTTACTGTATGGGAATACCAGCGCAAAAGCTATAAAAATGCGGCCTTGTCTATGAACGTCCACGAACAGTTCGTGAACAGGGCACTGCTCGTAAACACGTGACCTTTGCAGTGACCCTGACACCTTAACATTAGTTTTGAGTTGAGATAGCCAAATTGGGGTCCCTGGCCTGCAATTACTGGTTTGGGTGCTCACAACATCGAAAAATGCTACAAATTGAAAATATTTGATCTCAAAGTTGCAGCACATGGATTCAGAGGGGCTAATGTATTTGAATGCCCCCTCTGGATGTGTGACATCAGTGCAGATGTAACGATTTTTAAATGTTTAACTACAACGTTTGGTAGCACGTGGTGATATATATGCTGCATTGCGCAACATCTGCCGCAATTTAAGGATGCCTAATTATTGCTTCCAAATGACGTCGTAGGAATAGCGGAGGTCCCAAAAAGTAAACAAAAGTAAAAGTCTGATATCTTGAAAACCAGTGAATATTTTTCTGTGAAATTTGGTAGATATATTTTTTATCTTTCTCAACCAAGCGACATCACTTTTATGCCAATTCATTAACTTTTTCGAAGGTGGGAGCCGGGAGTTTCCCTTTAATGCCAGAATTCGTGAGCAATCAAATAAACAAACAAGCATTGTTGACGGAACTGTTCATGAACAAATATACGAACACCAAACTTTGAATAAATGTTGTTTTAATTTGCAGAATTGCTCATGTAAACTGGTCTTTTTGAAAACATTATTTTCTATAACTGTAATGAAAAACCTAAGTCACGTGGCTGATAAATTATATATATAATAAAGCGCCTTAAAACTGCGCTTTATTTAATCATATTATTTTCAATGAAGCTGATGTTTTTGTTTGGGCTTGTTGGCTCATGCATGCATTGCAATTGTCAATGCATGTGCTATATCTTCAGCTGGTTGTCCATGTGCTTTTCAGAACAACATCAGCCATCTTCCGGTGATCAACATAATCCAGAAGGGCAGTCATGGAGTGCCAGACAGGCTGTGGAAACTGACAATTGGGACAACATAAGAAGTGCAGTCTTCCAGGATGTCGTAGCTGCCCGCACAGTGCCAGCAACAGGTGAGGATGGGTTTAGCAGATTACGCATCCATCTTACAATCTTACATGCATTTTACATGTATTTGGAGTGGACATTCAATTATTTTAATCGGGACGCTTTTCACCCGCTGCTGCCAAAACAGCTTCCCCAACAGCCCACTAGATGGCTTACTGTGTTGAGGCGCGAGGGCGAGGGCTATGCTGTTTGGTTGGTGCTGTTGACCAATGAGAGACCGAGAAACGCACGCAAGCCGTGACGTAGCTGCTGACGTCTGTTCAGCCCTTACTATGGTCAAGTGCTGAAGCGAGATAGGTTTTCAGTACAGCATCATGATGTCTCCTTTACATAGCACGTGGGCTGCTGTGATGACGTCATGTAACCGTGACAGCAATCAGGCGCCGACGTCATAGTCTGCTGATTAAAAAAAAAACAGCGATTGAACAGGGCCCAGGTATGGCCATCTGTCAACCGCAGACCGTATCTGTTAGAGGCTCGCAACGAGGGCTGTAATCGAATCACCTTCTTCAGCCTTCAACAGTCACTACGTTTCCATGACACGCTTAAATCGATTTAACGAAATTTCACGTGCGTTTTTCTCGGAAACTATTCATCTTCATCTTGTGCAAAAAAAAAATGAGTGTATTTATTTGTATTTGTACATATCGCGGCTTTTCAGACCGCGATTGATTGATCGATTGATGATTTATCGATTGACGATCGATTGACGAATGATTGATTGATTGATTGATTTATGGTTTTAGCTACCGCTTAATCCTGTATTTACAGTTTTAAATGTCTTAATGATATGGTCGAGGAAATCCATTTTGCAAAATTGGTTTAACTTGTGCCCTGGAAACGTAGGCAATAGGTCTATAAGAGATTTTAAACAGATAGCAAATTTCGAGAACACATTTTTTCTTAAAGGTACCCTCCCACCTACAAAAAAGTTTATGAATTGACATGAAAGTGATGTCACTCGGTTCAGAAAGAGCGAAAACGAATATCTACCAAATTTCACCGAAAAATATTCACCGGTTTTCAAGATATTAGACTTTTACTTTTGTTTACTTTTTGGGATCTCCGCTGTTCCTAGCGACTTTATTTGGAAGCAATAGTTTGGCAGCTGAAAGTGCGGCACTTGCTGCGCGCAAAGCAGCATATACCACCGCGTGCTACAAAACGTTTTAGTCAAACATTTAAAAATCGTTAGGTATCTGCGCTGACGTCACACATTCAGAGGGGTATTCCTATGCATTAGCCCCTCTGAATCAAAATACTGCAATTTTGAAATTCAATATTTCCGATTTAAGGCATTTCTCGATGTTGTGAGTGCCGAAACCGGTAATTGTGAGCCAGGGACCCCATTTTGGCTATCTCAACTCAAATCTAATGTTAAGGTGGGAGGGTCCCTTTAACGGATTATCATCAATATATATTTTATCAGAGATTCAAGCACTGAAACATTGGATTTTAGTTTCGACTGGTGTCATACCTTAGATAAAAATAGCTGACCATAATGCGTTGTTGTTTCAGGGTCGGTATGCTCAAGCTGTGGCTACCACGCCAGTGTTGTTTGCGACAACTGTCCAGTGGCTGCGTTGTGCCTGAAGTGTGATGTGCAGCGTCACACGTCTCAGCCGTTTCATCGTCGACGGCACTGGGTTCGTGGGTTCCTGGAACCCTTGTCGCCTGGTGTCTCTGTCTCGGCTACAGGAGAATTCATTGACTTTGGTAAGTTTCCATTTTTTATGGTAGCCGCCCATTCCCCCATGCTCAAGATGTAACGACGTTATCTAGGCATCTTTTTGCCGGATTCACTCAATATTACTTTACTAATAGATCCACTGCCAGTCGTTCTTCCCTGGCGGTAGGAATAGGATGGTAAATATGCCCGTACGTATTGCATACTTACGTACGTATTGCATGTCCACTTCAGGACGGGTCGCTGCCACTCGGCAGTAAAGCCTGAAACAGACTCTTTCCGCAGTCAGAAAATCGCATGCGAAAACCTAATCAAATACATGGAAGCACGCTCGCATCAATCGCACGCACCTCACGCATCTGATTGATACGGGAAAATTACAATGTATTTGAATAGGTTCTCGCATGCGATTTCCTGAATGCGGGAAGAGTCTGTTTCAGCCTTAAGATAATTGTGTAAACTGTGTAAAAAGTACTTGCCATTTAGCTTCGGCAGTGACCTGTCCCGTGCTGAAGACATGGGTCAACCAATATCCTAGAATCGTAAAATTTAGTAATAAAATGGCACTCATGAAATATTTTCCCACTCATTTCTCCAGTTTTTTATTTTATTTTTCACTCCTTGGATATCGTGCTCTAGTTATCGTCTAAAAGATGTGGTTTAAAAACGTTTAGGATGCAGGTCACTCAGCGGGCCGCAGCTTCCGAAACACGCGCTGCGCTGTCGGAATAAAAATGTAAATGAGCTCAGAAATTAAATTTCAAAACTAGCGGGCAGTAAGCGCGCACGATGGGGTGGCATCACCGGATACTGGCGCCTGCTGCCCTGCAGTCTTTGAAAATGTTGCAAGGCGAATGCTTAGTCTGATTTTTTACCCTATTTGATTGTTTTTGTAAAATAAGCGTCACTGTTATTGATTTTTTTTTTTTTTGCTTTTATATTTTTTAATCACGTTTATGCGTTGTCTTTATTAGTATGTCAACTTAAATGTATCGTTTGTTTCAGCTCCCGTCTTGCCGCTGTACAGATCCAAGAAGGTTTGCCGAACTTGCAAAGCTGATTGCGAAATGCAGGCTTCCTCCGCGATGGTGATTGTCATCACCTTGCAAGGTATGTGATGTGTCTTCTTTTAATACATTTAGTTGGGACGTTTTGCTTGGCGGGATACACGAGGACATAGCCCCGCTATACAGAGCTTCTTGCGCTGGGACGTAAGCTCTTACCACACGGAATTCATCGCTCTACCGACAGCTACCTGGACTGACTACATGCGACTACATGCGGCTATAGATGAAGCAGTTGTGTTATTTTATTGCGGATTGTCTTTTGATGAATGCACTATGAAATAACGTCAACACTCAACCATCACATGCTTGTTATTTTATTGAGACATTGCATTTCCTTATAGAAAGTCCAGGCCTTGAACCCAGCGATGCCTTTAAAGCTTCGGTTACAACGAATGCCCGGGTCATATCCAATGATCCCCTATATCTACCCTGACCAGTATAGCGCCTTTTGGGGCGACTAACGGAGCGAGCGAGGGGGTGAGTCTTGCACGTGCGAAATTTCGAGGGGGTACCTCCAACTGACTTGTGCACGGCACCCTACTGACTGGTCTCTAGCGATGTGCCAAATTTGGGCACAATCGGCCCAGCCGTTCTCGAGATCTGGAAGCGGCACCCTGCACGTGCGCACGTGCAAAATGGGTCCCAACTGACTTGTGCACGGCACCCTAGTAACCGGTCCCTAACTGTGTACCAAATTTGAGCGCAATCGGTCGAGCCGTTCTCGAGATCTGGAAACGACCCCTGCACGTGCGCACGTGCAGCGGCACCCCAACTCTGGCACATGGATATGCAGTGCCTAGTGGGTGCCTACCTACATGCCAACTTTCAGCGCAATCGGCCAAGTAGTTACCGAGATATTGCAACAATTACAAAAGTGACACCTCTTCGTTTTGCACGTGGCACGTGCATAAGGGGTCACCCACATGCATCGGGAATAGTCCAATACTTGGTAGAAGGAATGAAGCTACCCTACAAAAATTACCGCATGTAAATCGGTCAAGTGGTTGCTGAGATATAAGCCTCGCAAAAGCGTCCGCACGGCCGGCCGGCCGCTCATACTCAGAAATTTCCGTTATTCTACGTAAGACTCCGCTCGCTTCGCTCGCTCCGTAATAACCTGGGGACCAGTTTTTATCAGGAGGCAGAATGCGGCGTTCGAATTTCTATGCAATATGCATGTAAAGCATGTTAACCCTCGCCCGTATAGGGGGCGGGGGGTCGAACGGAACCCTTCCCCTCGGTTTTTCGCGAATAAATCGCGTAAAAAGCGGCTGATCGCGACGAAACTTTCATTACCCTCGAGTCAATCAATTTTACACCTACTCTAAAAAAATTCATAACCCTGACCCAAATGACCTTTGACCCGTGACCTATTTCTTGGGGTCATGTTCGGCCGGAATCGCGATTCGGCGCATGTCGGCTCGCGTTAGCCGCGCGTTTGTAGTCTTCGTGGTTTAAAGCGTTCAAACATGGGATATGATGTTGGTTCCAAGCATTAGGGTGGGTGTCAAGGTCGACTGAATGTCAGGTCAGGTCATTGACCTTTGATGACCTTGGTTCAATTTTTCAAGCTTTACATGTTTCTAGGCTAGTTTTTTTTTAGCTGAATTCGAATTTGGCAATCATTTGAACATTAACGAAGTAGTTTTGGTGCCTTCGTAACATATCATGCTGAAACATTTTCAAAATCTGACGTGGGAAATTTGTGCAAAATTTTGATAGGTTCGATGGGGAGCGCGTGGCGCGTGCCCAAAGAGCAATCGACCGAAATGGATTCATAACCAAATCCACTCAGGACCAATCCAACACCACGGATCGAAAATCACCCCTTATTCGCGTTGCGGAGCAAGCGGGTCACCCTAGTACCTCCGTAAGGTCGGACAGTTTGTTTCAAGTCCTCGGTCAGCCGGAGTTCTATAGCCTTGGGTCAGCCTGACAATTCTTTGCCTTCGCCCTACGGGCTCGTGCAAAAACTTGTCAGGCTGACCTCGGACTTAAAAAAATAAACTGTATACCGGCCCCGGGAAGTATTATATATTACCATATGGTGGAGTATCTCTTAAGTATTGGCACGAGCGTTCGGAAAATGTTGGTATATGCTTTCGGCCCTGCTTTAGGTATCTGAGAAACGGTTTTGGACCGTGGTCATTTTTCGTATACCAGCAGATTGTTTTGAGGTCATTGACCCGTCTTTCAACATTGCTTACAAAGCTCATTTCTAGCTATGATTCTTTCTTCTTTGCGTTGCCCAGAAGACGGGATAACTTTGGTGGGCCATGTGGCGATATCTATCCGTAGGTACGAAACGCAAATAAACGCCAATAATCAAATTTTTATTCAGGTAGGTACACGTCATTTTGGACTAGTCGACAGAGCAGTGTTGACAGCTCCGGGTGTTACCGTGCCGTGCTTCTTACTTCATTTTGATGTTCACGATTCCACGGTTGCTGATGTTGAACACGATATAAGGGGAGCTGGAAACTGATTACGGAGCGAGCGAAGCGAGCGTAGTCTTTCCTTAGATTAACGGAAATTTCTGAGTATGAGCGGCCGGCCGGCCGGCCGGCCGTGGTCACGCTTTTGCGAGGCTTATATCTCAGCAACCACTTGACCGATTTACATGCGGTAATTTTTATAGGGTAGCTTCATTCCTTCTACCAAGTATTGGACTATTCTCAATGCATGTGGGTGACCCCTTATGCACGTGCCACGTGCAAAACGAAGAGGTGTCAGTTTTGTTATTGTTGCAATATCTCGGTAACTACTTGGCCGATTGCGCTGAAAGTTGGCATGTAGGTAGGCACCCACTAGGCACTGCATATACATGTGCCAGAGTTGGGGTGCAGCTGCACGTGCGCACGTGCAGGGGTCGTTTCCAGATCTCGGGAACGGCTTGACCGATTGCGCTCAAATTTGGTACACGGTTAGGGACCGGTTAGTAGGGTGCCGTGCACAAGTCAGTTGGGACCCATTTTGCACGTGCGCACGTGCAGGGTGCCGCTTCCAGATCTCGAGAACGGCTGGGCCGATTGTGCTCAAATTTGGCACGTCGCTAGAGACCAGTTAGTAGGGTGCCGTGCACGAGTCAGTTGGAGGTACCCCCTCGCAATTTCGCACGTGCAAGGCCCACCCTCTCGCTCGCTCCGTTAGTCGCCCCAAAAGGCGTTATACTGGTATTGTAAGGCTTCAAATTCTTCACGCCTTGTTCACTTTTTTCTTAACGTTTCCCGACTTTTTGTTTTTTAATAACAAAACTCAATACAATCTTAATTGTCATCACCAAAGTCAAATCCTAAGAAACTGGTGAGAAGCGTGGTTTTAAGAACCGCACGTTCCGCACGTTCGCACGTTTACGGTAAGAACCGCACGTTCGCGCTAATGCTAAAGGCATACTCCGGCATATAGTAAAGCCAATTATGCCAATAGCCAAATTGATCCCATTCCTGAACTTTTTGAAGGTGGGAGGGTCCCTTTAATGCCGATTGCCGAAATGGCTCCTCAAACAGTCAAGGCGAATGTTTCAGTTCAAATGCAAAAGGGTATAGTAAAAGTGAAGAGTACAGTGAAGATTATCACAATGTGTGGTCCACCTAATACCGATGGTATTGGATCGATGGATTTTTTGCATTTGGCATTCACAATCTTTCCATTATTTGGCCTCCGGGCCCAGACTAATGTAGTTCTCTCAAATATAATGCAATATGACATACTTTCTCCCATTTTCAGGCCGCTTTGACCTGCATGTCCCGGTCTGGTTGTGTGCGACATGCGGGATAACGACAGAAGTCAGTCACATCGACTTAGTTCGCTGCGGTTTCTACAGAGCGTCTCCGGTCAGGCTGTCAACAGTCATTCATGAAGATGTATTCATCATGTGGCAAAAGCTGAGGTCGCGTTCTCCTGGAACGTCACTAACGGCCTACATTTCGTCGCTCGAGGAGCTCGGGAAGACCTATGGCTGTGTGAGTTGATGAATAGTTTTTGATGATTTTTCCAAGGTCCCTAACTGAATTTAATCTAATTGGAAGGCATAGCGTTATAAGTTAAAATAAAAGGTACGACCATTTTATGATTTATTTTTATAATAGTAGTGTTACTGAGATTTATTTCATTACCAAAGAGATTGCATCGAGTTTCAAAGGCGATATCATTCCACGTACTTTGATATAGCTTAACAAGATCTTATTGTACGCATCCCCTTAAATATAATATATGAGCCGGTATTCCCACTTCGAACTATAAGACCTGTTCACTTTCGTTAGATGTGTGTAAAAAGACGTAAAACTGAGGGACGTAACTGAAAAAACTGGTTGGTGCACATTGGTTTCACAGACGATCAAATTCATTATTAATGATTTCTACTTTTGGTCCTATTTACCAGCCTTGCAGCTCGTATTTTCCGAGATTTCCAACTCCACAGAGATAGACGACTTGTCAAGAATTATGACTGAACTTATTTACCAGTAAAACGCCTTTTGGGCGAAGAACGAGCGAGCGAGATAGTGAGCCCTGCACGCGCGGAAGGGCGAGAGGGTACTTCCAACGGGCTTGTGGAAAGCACCCTTCTAACCGGTCGCTAGCGGTGTGCCAAATTTGAACGCAATCGGCCTAGCCGTTCCTGAGATCTGGAAGCGGCATTCTGCACGTGCGCACGTGCAAATGGGGTCCAAAATGACTTTTGCACGGCACCCTACTAACCGGTCTCCAACCCTGTACCAAATTTGAGCGCAATCGGCCCAGCCGTTCTCGAGATCTGGAAACGCCCCCTGCACGTGCGCACGTGCAGTAGCACCCCAACCTTAACACATGCAGATGAATTATCTGATGGAGACCTAACTGTGTACCGAGTTTCAATTCAATCGGCCCAACCGTTGTGCCGTTATTGAGGTTGCAATTATGGGGGTTCTTAAAAAATGTCCAACTTTACCACGCGCCACGTGCGGTGGTTGGCAAGAACGCATGGTGGCCATCACACCACAGAACTTTTACGTCCAAGTGACATTCAGTAAAGAAGACCGCTTGTCAATCGGATGTCCCGTTCCTAAGATATTAGATTTTGCAGAGCGTCCCCACGGCCGGCCGGCCGCTCATACTCAGGATTTTCCCTTAATTCAGTATGAACTCGCTCGCTCGCTGCGCTCGCTCGCTCGTAATAAGTAGCGCTGCATCTGAAATAACGGTATATTATAGTGTTAAAATCTTATTTTGAAAATATCATTTAAGGCTCCAATACAATGTGCGCTTACCAGATTTCTCAGTTATTTAGCCAGCAACCCTCGTGTTGTGTGCAAAGAAACGTTTACTGCGAGTGTCAAACTTATTTTTTAAAAAGCTAACTGTAGTAGCTCTACACTTTACAGTATTTTTGTCTCGGATTTTATTCAATTTGTGTTATTTACACCGAAAACGATAAAATAAGGATATCTAAAAAAGGAATATTTGTGAAAGCCATACATGCTGCAAAGTACATACCACGTATCCCGTCGTGCTACTTGAAACTGTTCGGGAGTTACAGGGGGCCGAAATAGGCCCCTTCACCCCCCCACCCCCCCCAACACACACATCTCCAACGCCACCGTCACCGCCACCACAAACGAGGCACATTGTCTGGATACACTAGTCAGTGGGAGGAGAGTGGGCTCGCGCTTAGTCATTTGAGTACGTTGTTGAGAACCATTGAGAGCTTTGACTGCGTACGAAAACTAACTTATAACTTTCATTTCAGGATAGACCAGTAGACTTCGAACGCCTGGAGAAGGCGTTTACGGAATGGACCTGCATACAGTTCGAACTTCAAGGCCTTCAAGGTTCGGACTTCATGGCTTGCGAGGCGTGCGGTGCTGAACCTCGTTGTGTTCATCTAGACGGCAATGCCAAGGTCTACCGGTATCGTTCGTCCGGAAGCAGTGAGATGGAATCTGCATACCATGTTGGAACATTCATCGAAGACAGAGATGCCGTCAACGCCCATGTCGACAAGATGAAGAGCGTGACCAAGGTCAGTACACTAGAGTGCGGTTGGGGAGCGTAACATATGCATTAATTATGCCTATATGTATTTGTATATGAGCCTGCGCCCCACTGGGCACGGTTCGTCGGAAGGTCATCTCAGGCTCAAAAGAAACGGTATATATCATTCGAAAGCTGACGGTGAGCTGATTCCAAAAATGTAATTTTTATCAAAATTGATCGATGGCCTTTTTTGAAAATTGCGTTTAAAACTTTATAATTTTTTAGTCGACGGGCTGTCCCGGGCATTCTTGAAAAATAAGCATGTTTTTTCGAGTTCCAGTGAAAGCTGAATGCCAAAAGAACAATATTTAGCGAAGCAATATTTCCAAACATTAATATGCGTCTCCCACAGCCGACAATAAGGCGCAATCACACAGCTCAGTGTCACAATGGACCAAATTCAGCCACACAGAAGCGTGAAATGACCCTTATCGACTCGCAGACCCGGCGCTCTCGGCCCGCCTGACCGGCCACGGGAAGAACGTTCGGCTCTCGTTCTACTAAACAAATGTCATATTTGTCAGTTTTAACTGTCCACATCGCTATTAACCCGCGCCCGGCTGGGGGTCCTGGATTTCCACGCCCTGCTGGGGGGGGGGGGGTTTGAACACCCCCCTTGTAACTCGGCTCCTGGGCCACGTAGCGATACGCGGAAGGCGGCGTTCGAAAGAACGTCAAAGATAATGACGAAATCACTTCGGTCAATTTTTTGGTCAGGTCAAAGGTCAGGTCACCAGAGGTCATTGAAGGCAAAATTTCGCCGATTTCCAGGTCAAATGTCGAAAAGTTCCAAGAAGCCAACGCATAACTCGGGAACCAATAGAGCTACAGCGCCGCGGAAAAGCGCATTCGATAGCCCTATTAACGCCCTTTCTGAGTAATTCTCTCAGATTTGACCTAACGTCAACGGTTTTGCCTGCAGGGGGCAAAAACTGCAAAAATAGCCGATTTTTTCGGAAACAGTTTTTCTGCAATAACTTTTGACCCAAGCCTTGTACGAGCTTACTTTTACCGGCATCGTGTTCCTCTCGTCAAGACGCATCGAATGAACTATAACTTGACCTTGAAAGGTCAGCTTGAAAATTTGACCTCAGGTCAAGGTCATGACCTGACCGGAAAGGGTCATGTTGCATATCAGTCGATCCGCATCGTCGAGCTGAACACATATAAGGCGTTTTCATCGCTCTAGCATGCCTCTATCAAAAGTTATTTGCGAAAAACTGTTAGATACCATTCGTGACCTAAGATGACCTCAGGGCATAAACAGGGGGTCACGGACACCATTTTCATGTTCAGTGTGTCTAAACCACTTGTAATTCGGTATTTGGGAGTGTTTATAATGCCTTTCGTCCAAAAGAGACGCATTTCAATTTTCTCCCATTGACTTATAATGGGGAGGTCGCAAAATTGACCTGACCTTAGGTCATCGATATCAAAATTCTGAGATATATATTTTGTACATGCTATTGCTGTTAGCAATCGCTGAAAGTTTCAAAGCGATCGGTCACTCGGTGTAGCTATGACAGACATTGAAACTTTTTATGAGGTGAGGTCACTTCAAGTGACCTGGTGACCTGACCTTGAATGACCTTGGTCTGAAATTTTCACAACATGTGTAGAATTGATGTATGATAAGGTGTACTAAAAACGGCGGCGCTCCGCGCCGTCGTTTTTGAAATATTCGCGAAAAACCACAAGGGGGGTGTTCAAACACCCCCCCCCCCCCAGCAGGGCGCGGGTTAAAGTTATTCAGGATACCTGTGAAGAAAATTCATTGTTCTGCTTGATTTACAGCATGCTTTAATTTACATTTTTCTTATACATGTTTTGTTCCATCCAGCTGCGCTCAGTCCCGCGCAGGGGAAGTGAGCGGGGTTTCACTGTCAGAGGCTGTATAACTGGTGACAGCTGCTCGGCCGTGCGACCGGTCAAAGGTTACCCTGCCCCACTGGGCGCTACCCCCACTCCACCTGAGCTGAGGCCGGTGCAACCTCTGACATTTCAGCGCGGCCAATTTTCCTTATATGGGCATGATACCAAGCTCAATGGAGCAAAGTAGACATGAACAAATGCAAATTAATGCATGATGTGAAGATGACAGGACAATGAATTTTCTTCACAGGTATCCTGAATAACTTGAATAGCGATGTGGACAGTTAAACTGACAAATATGACATTTGTTTAGTAGAACGAGAGCCGAACGTTCTTTCTGTGGCCGGTCAGGCGGGCCGAGAGCGCCGGGTCTGCGAGTCGATAAGGGTCATTTCACGCTTCTGTGTGGCTGAATTTGGTCCATTGTGACACTGAGCTGTGTGATTGCGCCTTATTGTCGGCTGTGGGAGACGCATATTAATGTTTGGAAATATTGCTTCGCCAAATATTGTTCTTTTGGCATTCAGCTTTCACTGGAACTCAAAAATACCTGTTTATGTTTTCAAGAATGTCCGGGACAGCCCGTTGAATAAAAGATTATAAAGTTTTTACAAAAAACGCAATTTTCAAAAAAGGCGATTTTGATCGATTTTGATAAAAATTACATTTTTGGATTCAGCTCACCGTCAGCTTTTGAATGGTACATATAGTTTCTTTTGAGCCTGAGATGATCTTCCGACGAACCGTGTGGGAGCGTAATCCTCTCCTCCAAACCTAATTTGGTTTATTAGCTTCTAAACGAGAAGGCGCAGCGCCACCATATTTGGTCTACTCTTTGAGAATCAAATTTGCGTACACCGACAATTTTGTCAATGCTTTCGTACGTCGGCGTGAGATGACTTTCACCAAGTGTTTGTGGGAAGCGCTCTGCTGCCTAGAGTAAAAGAGATCAAGCAAATAACTTTCACCCAAAAAAATGTCTTGTTAACCCGCGCCGTGCTAGGTTTGAAAAATACCTCAGTTATGTGCGAATGCGATTGGATGAGCACTCGTGCAGGTGTGCCGTCCAAGCAAATAGCACTATCACTCTTATTCATTTTTACTGGTTCTTTTTTCAGACAAGCAACCGGTGCGGGCTCTCCACTTGGACTGCTGGGAGAAATGACGCGGAAGCACTGCCATCCAAGCGGTCCCAAGATGAGACTGGGTTGGTTACAGCCACATGCCGTCACAGTGTCATCCTGGGTGGTGTAAATATGTACAGAGGAGAATCATTTGCATATAGTCACTTTCTCCACCAAGAACGCTTCCCTCATGTCCAGTACTTTGCGAGTGACATTGTATGCAAATACTGGCCTTGGGCGCAGCGTGTTTCGAGAAGATGGCCAGAATACAGCACCGGCGACTCCATGCCCTTCCTCAGCGTGATGCATGCTACTGGACATGCGTATTACTGCCAGGTATGCTCATTTTGTCATGTTTGGTTCCCTCGTCTACCTCATAACCCACATGTCACTTTGGCTTTCATTGTTATTTTCCTTATTATTTTCAGTGTTATTCATTAAATATTTGTCCACACTGGTTTATCATTATTATTTGTATTATTATTAGTATACCTAATGGGTGAGTAGTTGAAATCCGGACGACATTTTGACGCTTCATATTGTCGAATGTAGGAGGGGTATTAATAAAATAATATCACCAGTAAAACGCCTTTTGGGCGAAGAACGAGCGAGCGAGATAGTGAGCCCTGCACGTGCGTAAGGGTGAGAGGGTACTTCCAACGGGGCTTGTGCAAGGCACCCTTCTAATCGGTCGCTAGCGGTGTGCCAAATTTGAACGCAATCGGCCCAGCCGTTCCTGAGATCTGGAAGCGGCATTCTGCACGTGCGCACGTGCAAACGGGGTCCAAACTGACTTTTGCACGGCACCCTACTAACCGGTCCCCAACCGTGTACCAAATTTGAGCGCAATCGGCCCAGCCGTTCTCGAGATCTGGGAGCGCCCCCTGCACGTGCTCACGTGCAGTAGCACCCTAACCGCAACACATGGGATTGCATTGCCTGGTGGGTGCCTACCTGTATGCCAAGTTTCAGCGAAATCGCCCCAGTAATTACTGAGTTACTGAAATGGGAACAAATTTGGCACCTCTTATTGTTGTATTTTGCACGTGCAGTGGGGGTCACTCACAAAGATGAAGAGTATCCCAACTTTGGTAGAAGGGATGCAGCTACCCTATAAAAAGGACCGCAAGACAATCGCTCAAGCCGCTGCTGAGATATGGGCCTCTCAAAATCATTACTTTTGCAAAACTGCTTGAACACCCTTGACTTTTCACGTGGCACGTGCCACGGCGGTCACTGAGATGTATCAAAAGTAGTCAATTACGGGGTAAAAGGGATGGAGCTACCCAGCAAAAAAGACCGCAGGCCATTCGGTCCAGCGGTTGCTGAGATATAAGCCTCTCAAAAGCGTTACAGGCCGGGCCGGGCCGGGCCGCTCATACTGAGATTTTTCCGTTATATTGAAAAGACTTCGCTGCGCTCGCTGCGCTCGCTCGCTCGTAATCACCTAAAAGCCCGTTAAAAATGCTACCAATTGGCACCAAAAATATAACAGGGATGTTAGTTAATTGACGCTCATTGGCCAATTTAGAAGCTTTGTAAACAGCTGAAGTTCGCGAAATAGCCGCAGATTTTGTCACTTAAATTCCATACCGACCAAAAACATTCGAACAGGATCATTGTACGTCCGATTTGGTGGCAAGAAGCACCTTTTGTGACGTCTTTGAACATTTTTATCAGTGGTCCTGATGGTGATTTGGCAGAATATGCCAATTTAAGCCGATGGAATAGTTCCAGAAAACGGGTTATGGTATTGCTCGTCATAAGCCCGAGTGACATCAAATTCATAATCCATTTTTAAGCGTTGCATGGCAATAGTGGACGGATTTCTGCAGGGAAAATAGCGTAAAGTGAGGAGACATTTACCATTACTTGAAGATAAGTGTCCCAACAAAGTGGACTCCAAAATATTCAACTTCAAAGTTGCAGCACTTTGAATTTAGAGGGGCTAATGTATTTGAAGGCTCTGAGTGTGGGAGGTGGGAGGGTCCCAAACTTCGGGCTCTAAATTATGCCATAGACCTGGTCCCTGGAATAGCGCAATCAAGGGATAGAGCACAGGGTCAACGCAACAAGCTCCGCTTAGCGGGGCTTTGTCCTTGGGAATCCCTCCAAGGAAAAGGTTCGGGCTAAATTTACAATAAAGAAAAATCACAGTACCCGAATACGGTCATAGCCGCGACCATTTTCAAACTACCTGTGTTTTGAAAATGTGTTGTGTTCCGGTATTTGTGTTGCAGATCACGTTCGGCGGCTTCTGGCGGGATGGTTCTGGGTGGTCTATTATGGAAACCACCGAGATTGCCAACGCCTTCCTCAGCCGGGCCGCAAATACGACCAAATACATGACGGCTGCACAACGCAACGACGCGCTTACTGGTATGGTCCTCAAGTACAATGAGGAAAAGCACGAGCGCATGCCCAGACTTCTGGTCAGTAGGCTGCAAGATGCCGAGAAAAGGATCCCTGAGCTTCAGTGCACGCTAACCTCGCTGCTCGATGAGCATGGTGTCTCCCAGGACCGGATAGCTGCTCTGGTGGAAGACCTGAGAAATCTGGCTCGGGCGCTAAGCAGCCGCGACGTGCAGTCCGACGGCCGGAACCTGGAAAACGCCATCGAGATGACCAGCGACAGCCTGCGGGTCCGTCTCGCGGCGGTCACCAACGTGGCCAGCTCGGCCAAGCAGAGAAGGCGCTGCCGAAGACTCGCGACAACAGACAAGGCCAGGCTCGCGAAGCTGCTGAAGCGCTACGAGCGCGAAACTGGCGAAAATGTTGCGATGGCTGATGCTGTGGAAGGGGTCTTCCCATGGCATGTCCAGCCCACTGAAAGTGGTGGGCTGACCCTGTCAGTGAAGCGCGCCATCTGCGACACCCACATGCGGCTGCAGCGATCGCTGGAAGAGCTGGGGATCGTAAGGGAGGAAATGGAGCGCCTGCTGAATCACTCGAGAACTGCAATCGCCCAGCTCATCCACACCCTCAAGGTCAGTGCCAGCCATGCTTTGAACACATCCAACGTTTGCTTAATGTGTAAGTTGGAAGGATATGCCAAAACTGACGTCATTGTCGACACGCACATAGCCAGAGACTGCTTGAGGGAAGTCAAATTGAACCAGGCGGTTTAATTTCGGAAATATGAGACAGCCACCTTGTATTTATTGTTATTTAATTCTTTTGATGCCTTTTATTTACCATTTACTTGAAAACTGCCATCTGCATAGCTACCTCCTTTCACGCAATTTTCGTTGGTTTTCTTCAAAATAAAATAACAGTGAAATCAACACCACGCCCCATCCCGTCCCACCACCTCGCTTTTGTGTTTTATCATAACTTAGCACGTCGTGACTTCTATCGTCAGGTTGTGGAAGAGCAGCTGGATCGCGATCAAGCAGAAAGGACATCTCTCATACACCTGACTGCGACGAGCAACCGGTATTGCATCCAGGAGGAATCGGAGGCTACACTCCGTGGTCTCCGGGCTCTGATGTGCCAGGCGATTGCTGAGCGGCAGACGTACCTGGACATTGCGCAATCCTTGCTGCAGCAGTATTTGCCAGGTACATGTCTATTTATATGCATGCTGATGATGTGTTGACATACTCACTCGCCAAAAATTTAGTAAAATTGCGTGGGCCTACCTCCATTTAGCGTTCCGAATATTAACCCGCGCCAGACATGGGCACGGATCCCAGACAACCAATCACGGAAATCGAGATGGCCATTAGATTGACGGTCTTAAAGCATGAAATTATGGTGGAAGACATGGCTAATAGAAGCCTCTCAATGAACCAACTATTTTGCATTCCTTCAGAGTTAACAGTTCTAAGTAAATCCCTCAAGATCCATCTCGGATCCATGATTCTTGATCGTGGATCCGAGATGGATCTTAGGGATTTTCTGAAAACTGTAAGCTCTGAGCGGATGCAAAATAGTTGGTTCGTTGGAGGCATCTATTAGCTATGTTTTCCACAATAATTCCACGTTTTAAAGGTAGTGTGCCAGCTTTCCTGGACCATATGGAGTTAATGACCCGGATAAGGAGAACCGGATTTTTAGAACTCATCCATACCTTCAAAACTCATGGAAACGTCTTAAATTCTTCAAATTTTGAGTACCCCAGTGCGAAACTCGCCCCGACGTGTTGTCGGTCGTCGGTCGGGTTGTCTGGGGTCCGTGCCCATGTCTGACCCGCGCCGTGCCACTGCTCCGGCCCGAATGCCTCTTGTCGGGGAGGGGGCGTTTTTACGCCCCCTCCCCCTTAACCCGCGCCCTGGTGGGGGCTATTTTTTGCCCCCCCCCCCTCCAGACTTTTCTATATATCTTCAGAACCGCTGCGCCGATCGTCACCAAACTTTCAGTACCGTAAAGTGGGGCTATTTGAGACAGCATTTAAAATCGCTATAAAATGAAGATCGTTTGATTTTTGTGTGATATTTTTGCTCAGGGAGATGTGGAATCGAGCAGTAAATCGCCTGAGCAAAATTAAGCATAAATTTAAGTGGTTTTTATTTTATAGCAATTTTAAATACTGTCTCAAATAGCCCCACCTTACGGTACCTCCCCGGGCATCAATTTTACACATTGTGACCAAAAAATTTCCAAAGGCTATGATAGGTTGGCCGCAAATGACGTCAGACTGACGTCATGTTCTGCCGTTTTCGACCCATAAAAAGCTTTCGCGGGAAGAGCTGTCAGGCCTATAGCGTTGAAGATGCAGAAAAACGTCTAAGACATAAAAGGTGTAGAATTACCAGAAGTACAAATTGACTATATCGAAATTATGATTTTTTAATGTTGACCCCCAAAAATAAAAATAATGAATATAATTGCCAAAAAAAAATCCAAAAAGTTTTCGACCTTCGAAAAAACGGAATATATGTGATAGACCTTACCGTCTTCTATTCACATACCAAATTTTAGATCGATAGCTCTCTTTGGCCAAATTATAGCGAAAAAAAACTGTTCAAAATTGATGACGTCAAATTTCCAAACTCAATTTTTAGCAATTTTTACCACGTAGCGCAAAACAAAGACCACCATTAGACTGGCCGTAACGAGCTGCATCGAATCAATACCCATTTTATGCAAAAATATCAACTTTGAAATTTGCCCTTTTTTACCTGTTGACCTGACCCCCACCAGGAAGTGACCTAAACCGTTCCTGATTGTCTTATCAACACCATTGAGTTTGAAATGAAAAATTGGCCATAAAACATGCATCACACAGCCCTAGTAAAATTGGGTTCATGTGCTGACCCTTAGTGACCTGACCTGTGACCTGACCTGGTGTTATCAGTGACCTCTAATAGCAACATATGCACCAGGAAACTGACGCCCTATCGCTGATTTTTGATAAAATGCGTTTTATTCGATGCTATAGCGCATTTCCTACATAGAAGACCCGTGACCTGCAAAACATTTTATCTTTGACCTGACCTATGACGTCATCGGTGACCCTGAGGTCAATGAAATTGGATTTCTTTCGACAAATTTGACTGGGCCTTCGAACGCCGTTTGAATTTTGTGGATCGGTCCAGTAGTTTCGGAGATACGGGGGGGGCAAAAAATAGCCCCCCCCCCCCCACACACACACACCAGGTCGCGTTTTAAACAGACCTCACCAGGGCGCGGGTTAAGCAGTCTGCTACTGGGCATCAAAGTGCATAACTAGAAAGACCAAATATCGACTGTGGAAAATTAAACAGTTGGTGAACTAATATCAAATTAAGGCCTGAAATTTGAACTATTGACGTTGTCGACCGGTGATGGGTGGCGAATAGCGGCAGCGCGATTGGCTTGATTGTAATCGTGATTTGTGTTTCCGACAGGACGAGATGAGCGCCCACTGTGACGAGGACGAGGAGCAGAAGGCCGAGTGCAGCGTCTGATCGGCCTGTAAACCGCCTTATGGAGATATTCCAGAGGAAGGTGGAAACATCGCAACACAGTGCGGACCGTATCATCCAGCTACCGTTCGGGATGCTGCCACTGGCTGCTGTTCGCATGCTGCCCCCGTCTAGTGTGGATTAATACAGTTTTGCGCTGAGACATCTGTCGCCTTTGGACGCTCCCTGAGCCTCGTACCACATGCGGACCGAGCTGAGACGACAACACGACATAGCCCTTTTGTGCCTTTTCTCGAGAAACTGTATTTTCGGGGGGATGGTGGTGGCCACCAAGAACCCCAATAATTGTGCTGAAATGGCACAGTATCGCTGTCTGTTAGATTTCCGGACGAGATGGCTACCGTCGAATAATGGTCCTTGGTTGTCCAAGAAGTCGTCGAGTTGTGCTCAAATTTTCCCACCTTGAGATAGGGCTGCGGGGTTGATGAATTTTAAGGCGATTCCGACTCCGACTTCGGACGGTTCTATTAAAATTCGTATAATGATATTGAATTTAAGTTAATAATGGAGATGCCTTTATCCTGCCTGAAACGGCCCCTTATGTGTTCCAAGGCTTTGCGTTGCAAATATGCATTAAAAATAGCCATGCAGAATTAAAACCCAAGTTTTGGGGTATTCACCGTCTTCTGCTTCTTTCGGTGAAAACGTTCGTCCAAAACAGCAAAATGTTTTTTCGACAAAATCTAATTTCGAGCGCAGTATCGTCAGAAACAGGTGCAGTGCATGACGTTGAGCCATGCAGCGTTATCTCCGATTCCGGAGTCTGAGCCGATTTTGGCGGCTCCGACTCCGGGCAGAACTGTCCGACTCCGAGCGACTCTAACTCCGACTCCGCAGCCCTGCCTGAAGTGATAACAGATAGTTTTTTTTTCTTCAAAAGAGCGACTCCCGGCTCACATGGCGGACACGCCTTTCTCGCCGGAGTCAATCACACGGCGGACTGGCCTTCATACACGCACTCTGGTTTTCCGGCCCGCCGCTCCACACACATGAATCACGCGCTCGATATTGCCCTTACACCCCTCCATGGTGCCGAGACGGGCGGGAAGGCAGCGCGGAAGACGGGCACCCCGAGCCGAACGGCGGCGGCTACTGCAACACAGCACATGCTGGTAAACGATGGGCGGCGACAGCGAGTGACAAGTGAAAAACGAATATGTATGATCAGCAGTGCATATGGTACAATTGATTCAATTTGTGGTAGTGTACGAACAAAAATGAATATATGCCGACTGTAATAATGACAAATCAACAACCTCCAACAATTAACCTCAGACAGAAACAGGCGAACACAAGATTGCAAACAAGGAATAAAAGCAAGATAAAGACAAAATCTGTCAAACTGAGGAAGACAGGCTATCACATGATAGGCAAAAAAGCCAACAATAAACTATTAAACACTAGCAGCGGGCCAGCGGCCCACCGTCCCACGCCGACTCCCACTTACCAGCCTACAACACCCCATCCTTCCACACCCTCCCTCCCCCCTCCCCTCCCCGCCCTCGTAATGGCACTCTCTCCCAGGTATCCGCCGCGATCACCGAGTCCTCTTTCCTTCCCAAGACGCCTCAGCCACGGTGTCGTATAAGCTAGTCGGGCTACTGTCTGTGGGCGCGACTACGGTGGCTCGCCGGGCGCAGGTAGCTCCTGTCAGTGGGGGCGACAGCAGTGAACGCCCGGCTCAGCACAGCGCTGACAGCTGCTACTGATCGGCTGTGCCGATCGCTGTAGTTCACATACGGCTAATGACTCGCACTCTGACAGCATTGGGCTCGGTCCCGGCTGGACCAGACGGCGAGCTGGAGAGCTCAGGTCAACAGAGTTCACTGAGTCACACCGCCGGAGTCGAGTGGGTGGGAAGACTCGCAGACAGATACCGCGTGGCCAGGTCGAGCAGACACGATGTCCGAGACGCCGCGGAATCGACCAGGGCAGCAGCTGTCCTGGGGCGGCGTCAATCAAGCGGCTCGGCGTGGGGCAGGCCGCGCCATACACAAGGCGCTATTGGGCGGCTCTACCGCCGCGCACGCTCCTGCTCCGACCCGATGCGCCACGGGAGCTCTCTCGGGCGCCGCTACCGGACTCGGCAGGGGCGGTCCCAGGCTGGCGTGCTGGGTCGGCAACTGCGTAGATACGATAATAGCAAAACCGAAAGAGCTTACCTTCATCCGTGTTTTGAACATAGAGTCATTCAATGCTTTAACAAGTTTAAAAAATACAAGCGTCTAAAGTTGAAAACATGGCAAAGTCACCCCCGTTTACGGTAATAATAATTACTATAATAACTCAGCCGCTACCGGACCGAGACCGATTGCGATGAAACTTAAATGGAAAGAATGGGACCAAAAGTCGGCAGTGTTCCCCCCCCCCCTTAATTGAAGGTCTTCCGCCGCTCCTGTAGGACGGCGCAGACCGCGCGGCGGATGGCGGAAGGGCTCGCCCGGCACTGAGCGAGCGTGCGGCGGCGCACAGACGCACGGGGCGCCAGGTGAACCGGCGACCGGCCGCGGCCGGTCTCGCCTGACTGAGCCCGGTACAAAGTCCATAGCGCCCGGCGTGACGCACAGACGGCGTGGCGGACGGAGGACGAATTCGCTTGACCCAGCCCCTTACTATAGCAGCCGGTCATCTACAGACATATAGGTACCCGGGCGCTATACCCAGCCGATATAGCACGGGTTATCTGGGTGGGGTGGCCAAACCCACACTGAGCTGGTTGATCGCGTACAGCACTACCCTCATTGTATCTTAAATCACGTTGCACGACGTTGTCCGTCACTGTCTTATCAGTCACAATCACTCCTACATCGTTTTGGCATTTCTGCCTTCTCCTCTCAGAGTCCAGTACGACCTTCTTTTCCTGAGGAACTTACCAATTTTCTGATGGACTCAAATCCCCAGAAATCCTTTCTTCCTTCCCACACCATGCGTCACCGAGATCGACCCGCTCAGAGCTGCCTTTCGCCGAGTGCCCACGGAAAGTGGTTATACCATCAGGGACGGGTTCCGGCGTCGGATTCCTAGGAATACCTACAAATGCGTTTTTCTCAAATATTAACCCGCGCCGCCGAGACGCATATTATCACTGCCGGCAACAAGGCACAATCACCCAACTCAGTGTCACGATGGGTCAAAGTAAGCCACACCAAAGCGTGAAATGACCCTTATCGACGCGCAACCCGGCGCTCTCGGCCCGCCTGACCTTCACTCAATATACCCTGCGCCTGACCGGCCACGGAATAAGGACGTTCGGCTGTCTCCCTACTAAACGGCCGTCATATATATTATAGTTAAACGATTCAAGTCGGTATTTAAGTTGTTCAGGATACCTGAGAGGAACATTCATTGCTCTGTCATTTACACATCATGTATGAATTTGCATTGCATTTATGTGTGCATACTTTGCGCAACTCAGCTATGCATTATGCCCATGTAAGGAAAGTTGGCCGCCCGGCGGAATGGCGCACGGTATATAGAGAACTAGGTGACTGGTTCGCTGCTACAACACTAAGGTATTTTGACCCTTCCTTCAGCTGACTTTTTTCGAATAAAATGGAAAACCACGCCACAGATTTCGGTTATAATAATTATAGGTATGTTTATTAACATTGACTAGATTAGCGGAGAAGATCCGACTAGTACCTAAATTCGTACGCTGACAAAGGAAATAAAATTAAGCCATTCGCGCCAGTTTTCCAAAAGAATTATTTCAAGGTATAGACGTTTGTTACATATATCTTGTTTTGTGTTTTCTAATAGGTATTAAATTTAATAATAAATCCACATGCATGAGCAACCAAGTGAACATGACGATGTCGGCCCGACAGCGAACCGACGTCGTCTGGGACTCGGTCCGCTGTCGGTCCACCGTCGGCCCGATCCTCGGCTGGTGAGGGGCTATGTCCACCTAGTACGAAATCCGACCGACATGCAATCGCCAGTGGGCCGAGGTCGGGCCGACGTGGTAACTCGGCACGGGATAGGAGCCCGGCGGGCCTACAGCTGCCCGATGTCGGCCCGCCACCAAGCCACTATCATCCCGATACGCGGCCACAGATGCCCGACGTCATACCGACATTCACCCGATATCTGTCATTAGCAGCCCGATGCCCTTTGGCGATCTGCCGGCGGCCGCCCGACAGTGTACCGTCATGAAGACCGTATCCACCAATGCTCGGCAGACATTCTCCCGCGCCGTTTGCTGACAGGCGCCCAATAACACACCGAAATCTAGCCGATATCCGCCCTCTTCGCTGCCTCCTCTTGCCGACAGCGGCCCGACGTCATACCAAAGTCTGCCCTATGTATGACCAACGACACCCACCCGATTCCATCCCACTCTCTTTCTACATGGCCCGACGTGACGGGGGAAAACATAGGATGACAGTTTCTTCCAGAGCATTACCGGACCACGCGTTGGTCATGATGCGAGACCGCTGCTGGAGACGCCAGCAGCGGAATGAGAACGGGCTGGAGGCGGTGGAGGAGCCGCAGCTCCGGGAGGACTATTCGTCTTCCTCGGACGCAGAGTCACAGGTGGTAGTGACCGAACTGACTCCACACTCCACAGGTTCCCCAGGATAGGAGGCGGCGGCACGACCGACCCGGCACCGTTCCGTGCTTCTATCCTCAGGATACTGAAATCCTTCTCCTCCACGCCGCAACCTCCCTCCGGGCTGGACAGGCAACTTTATCTCATGCGGGCTGCTCCCTTGGAGCGGCACCGCTGCTCCCGAGGGAGCGCACCCCGTAGCCGGGTGCAGTGAGTGCCTTGGGGCTGGGTGGCCTGTCCTCTGGACGGGCTCAGCCCCGGCGACTCACTAGGGTGCCTGCCCAGACCAATGTCTCCCCCTACATCCTATCATCCTCCCGGCTCTGAAATGGTCTTACTGGACCGAAATGGCCAAACCCAACAAAACAAACAAACAAACAAACCGACCCGGGGCCAGGAGGTCTCAGCGGGAGAGGAGACCCCCTGACCGTTATAGTCCCTGATGACCTATATGGCCTTGCCCTGAGGAAACTGAGTTGGGAGTAAAGTAAGGATAGTTAAGCAATCAGTTTGCGCCCCAGTATGATGGTATATGGCTTCAAGTGTATAGGTAAATGTGTTAATAAGGCGGACAGACATTCCAGTGGATATT